GATGATTTGAAGAAAATTTGTGGTGATAATTTTCCTCAATGGATATCGTTTCCAGCATTTGAACAGGTACTTGTCATCATTTCTCTTTTTTTATCTTTTCTAACTCAATGTTCATCTTCCGTTTTTGGGTGGTCCGTGGTCGACATGATTTCTGTGAGTCATTGAGTTTATAGAATTTTTTGCCTCAGTACTCTGATTGGAGAAATCTAGTTCTGGTTCCTTTATCTTTGAATTCAACAATACTTGATTTTGCGTGTCTCTGATTTTGGAACAGTCTAGTACAGTTTAACCACTCGGTTTCTCAGAAACATAGCAAAAATTTTAAACTGCAAACCTTTTGTTCCTTCTTTTTCTCAGGTCAAATGGCTGAATAAACTACTGAGCAAGATGTGGCCATATATTGCAGAGGTGAGATTCTAATCTTCTTGTGTTGCAATATTAGGTGTTTTAATTTCCCGTGTATGCGGTTGGAAGTTGGCTATGAAATCTTTAGCATGTTTACCCTGAATAATGGTAACTGAAGATATCCTAGGAAGAGTAGAGTTTTTATACTGTCAAGTTGTACTACAATGTCTGAAATTATTGAAGAAGAGTAAGATTTAGCTTATCTAGATTGGACTCGTAGACTGCCTTTTTTTGTTGCTGCTACACAAATACGAGTGTTTTTGGACACCTAAGATAGGTCCAATTTGTTGGAATGGAAAACACTTGCCACAATGCAGCTTGGCAATCAACGAGTGTAATATTCGTTGTTGTGTTGACTAATTTCCAGGCAGCAACTATGGTAATAAGAGATTCTGTTGAACCTCTGCTTGAAGATTACAGACCACCAGGAATTACTTCCCTGAAGTTCAGCAAATTGACTTTGGGTAACGTAGCACCAAAGATTGAAGGTAAAGTACGGTGGACAACATCATTTTTGTGATGGCTATCTTTCCCCTTCCATTGTTCAACCTTGTATTGTCCTATTATTTATTTGGGATGAGTTTCCTGCCAAATGCTAATGAATCCTTGTGCTTGGAAGAACATCATGCATTTGTCTCTTAGGTTAGTTTTGCTGTAAGCCTGAGCACATGCATAATTAATCATTGTTGCAGGTATTCGTGTTCAAAGTTTCAAGGAAGGTCAAGTCACAATGGATGTTGATCTTCGATGGGGTGGTGATCCAAATATTGTTTTAGGTGTTACAGCACTTGTTGCTTCCATACCCATTCAGGTTACTAGAGAGATATTTTAGTATATGTCGTTTAGGTTGTCTTTTGTGCCCAATAGAGATTGAGTATCTCTACAAACACTTGTTTCTGGCTGAAACAGTTGAAGGATCTTCAAGTTTTCACAGTTGCACGTGTTATCTTTCAACTTGCGGATGAGATTCCTTGTATATCTGCTGTTGTTGTTGCTCTACTTGCTGAGGTACACTTTTTCCTGTAAAGATCCAGAATAGATGCATTTTTCTTATATCATTTCTCCTGGCTTACAATGACCAACTTTTTATATGATCTCAACCAGCCAAAACCAAGAATTGATTACACTCTGAAGGCTGTCGGTGGAAGCTTAACAGCGATTCCTGGACTATCTGATATGATTGATGTAAGTTCCTCTCTTGGTAGGTCAAGCAGTTTCAAGAGGTTTTATTTGTTCCCATTTGGTCTTATACACAGCTTTTTTGCTTCTATCTCTGTTAGGATACTGTTGATACGATCGTCAAAGACATGCTTCAGTGGCCTCATAGAATTGTTGTTCCCATTGGTGGTATTCCTGTTGATTTAAGGTACTCATGTGTTCTGCTTGTTTTTCATTTGCCTTTTTTCACTCATAAATATTTTGCCTGCCATTGCCACTCTTTTGTCTTTTCTCCTCTTCTGATATAGTCATAGGATTGACTTGGGAAGGTCATGATACGTATTGAGAAAACACTATATAATTTGACGATTCTCTTTATTTTTCTTCTTTTTCAGTGATTTGGAGCTTAAACCACAGGGAAAGCTTATAGTAACAGTAGTGAAAGCAACTAACTTGAAGAATAAGGAATTGATTGGAAAATCTGACCCTTATGCTACCATCCACATTCGTCCTGTATTCAAGTATAAAACAAAGGCAATCGAGAACAATCTGAATCCTGTTTGGGATCAAACATTCGAATTGATTGCAGAGGACAAAGAAACTCAGTCCCTCACTGTAGAGGTCTAGAATCTGAAACATTTATGCTTCTTACTTGTTCAACTTTGCCATTGCAAACATTAACTAATTCTCTTCGTTCCATTAAAACTTTTGGCAGGTATTTGATAAAGACGTAGGCCAAGATGAGCGTCTGGGACTTGTGAAACTTCCCTTAAGCAGTTTGGAAGCCGGAGTAACAAAAGAACTGGAGCTAAATCTGTTGTCTTCACTTGATACTTTGAAAGTAAAAGATAAGAAAGATAGAGGAAGTATAACTCTTAAGGTATAGATGTTCCCTTGAATAAACGCAAAACTTTTCCTTTTCGCTGTTCCTAAATTAACTTGAATTGAAGGTACATTATCATGAGTTCAACAAAGAGGAGCAATTGGCTGCATTAGAAGAGGAGAAGAAGATCATGGAAGAAAGGAAGAGACTGAAGGAAGCAGGAGTGATAGGTAGCACGATGGATGCAGTTGGGATGGTGGGAAGTGGGCTTGGTGCTGGTGTAGGAATGGTTGGGACCGGGATTGGGGCAGGAGTCGGATTGGTTGGAACCGGAGTGAGCTCGGGTGTTGGGATGGTTGGTAGCGGTTTTGGAGCGGTCGGTAGCGGATTGAGCAAAGCAGGGAGATTCATGGGAAGAACAATCACAGGTCAGTCTAGCAAACGTAGTGGCTCCTCAACACCTGTGAATACCGTTCCAGAGAACGATGGTGCGAAACAGCAGTAAGTAAACTTTGGGTTTAAGCCATGATCATAACATCGTGGTACTCTCTAGTCATGCGATGCGACTTCGTTTTACTCTTTATTGTTTTTTTTATTCCTTTACCTCTCTGGAATTTGATATCTGGATTCACTGCAGTAATTTGTTTTCGTTGTGAGCTTTCAAATTCAAAGTCTTGTACAAAAGTCATTTGTTTAATCGTCCCATAAACAATAGATTTCCTGTCGTCAATGACTTGGTAGTTTAACTTTTCAGAATGTTATATTACGAACAAATATGTGTCAGACCTGCATATACTCTCACTGAAGTATATCTAAAACATGGTGCTAACATCATCGGTTAAGTTAACTAATAAAAAAACTGATTGATTGCAAGTAAATTACTCAGTTAAAACTTAAGTGTATATAATAAGCAAATTATAGATAAGTGGCTTTCACTATCATATATACTTTCAGATATAACGTCGTTCTCGGAGTTCTCTTTCAAAGAGACTTTGTCATATGTATAAATGCTAATACCATAAATCATGACGAGAAAATATTAGACTCAATAAACAAGAATCCCTAACAGACACAAGAGGAAAATCTTTCTTATCTAAGTTTAGATAACCTCACTCAAAAAATCTGAAAAAAGAATCTACATTAAAATACAAACAAAACAAAAATTTGTTAACGCCAATAATTGTATATTTTTCTTTTAAAGCTTTGAACTATTTCAGAAGATCAAAGTTGATGATCAACAATATCTCTTACGTTTGTTGATATTATCTACTTATTGAAATTTGAAATCATAACAAATTAACAATATCTGGAGACTGGGACGAGAAAATTGGATGACGTGTTAACACGAGCCTATGACTTGGATCCACATAAGCCTGAACTGTGGGAAGTTCTAAACTGTGTACTGATTGGTTGATACGTAAGCCAAGTGGATAAAGTGTCCCGACCACAAGACCCGACATGATTTACTTATTTTACTCGTAAATAATTGCATTAAGAAGTGGCCACATTATGAAAATATAACCAAAAAAATGAATGATGCATGATTAGTTAAAGCAATTTGCTATTGTTAATTTGCTATTACTTTTTCTTCTAACTGATGTTTTTTTTTTTCCTAACTAATGTTATCATACGGAAGCATTCGATCAAAAGCACATTAATTATGTCATCACAATATTATATTTTTCCTTCTAATCTAACAGACCCTGATCAGTTCACAAGACTGATTCCAACATTTGATATGTACTGTATCAATTTTACCAAGCATGCTACATATTAAATCCATATTATCAGTCGATCGGCTACTTAATACAATAACGAAAGTTCATTCAAAACTTGCATCGTATCGCATGGGATATGAATATCTAATGATTTTATTTTTCATTTTAACTATCGACGGACGAGAAGTAGAACGTTCCTCAATATTATACTAGGTATAGTTAAATACATGATATTACTTAGCTAAATATAATGAGTCCGATTGGTAACTAAAAACTGTATAAGTTTTTTAGCTGTTAGCTTTACCGGAATAGTACAAAACTGTATGAAAGAGCTGTACGAGAAAGCTGTAAAAAAAACTGAGAATAAAACTTTTAGTAACGCTTTTGATAAAGTTTTTGTGAATAGTAAAAATAAAAGTTGTACAACTTGTAATACTTTTATTTGATCACCAATCAAACCCAATAAATATTTATAAATCCAATTATATATATTCATTCGAGTTCCACCGTTATTAGATGCTCTTGATCAGTGATCACCGCAGCCAAACACACCATATCCACAACTTCTTGCTTTTATAAAATAAACAACAAGAATAAATGGATAAAGTGGGCTCGAGTCGACCATGGTCCATGTATGAATAAGAAGATTCACCAACTTAAAATATTTGTGTTAATTATATCCAATCAAACAAAAACTAAAACTGTTATAATTTTAAGTTACTATTAAGTATTAACCATATAAAACTAAAAAAATTCACTTTAAACAAAAACTTGGCCAGGTGTTTTGGTTAAAAACTCCCTATCCCCACCCAGGTATTGACTACAACACGTGTAATAATGCACTTTAAACCAAAACTATTAGGCCAAGTGGCCAACTTTTGATCACTTTATCTGAACCCGACCCGACCTAAACCGGACCACGAGTACATACACACATCTTCAGATGTAGTAGATACGTATAGTACACTGCAGGATTATATAATTGTTAGGCTCAGGAGAATTGACCTTTGAATATTTCATACGGTTAAAAAAATTCTTCTATATAAACTGAAGATGCTTTGAATATTTGTATTCTCTGTGTATGTTCAAAACCGTATAATTAACAACCAAAAAAAGAAAGCTTCCTTTATTTGTTTTTTTGAGTTTTCGTTGATCGATTGGTTAATTCTGTCATATCAATTTGTTCTCGATTCTTCGCGGCCATGCAAATTTAATGTTTTCGTTTGTTTTTGGTGGTGATTATGGGCGCGAATATCTCTGGAGGTTTGACGGAGTTTGACCGGGACGGTGACGTTTACGCGAGGAAACCCGGATTGGTGGATTTACCGGAGAATTGTGTAGCGTTGATTATGATACGGCTTGATCCACCGGAGATTTGTAGGCTTGCTCGTCTCAATAGGATGTTCCGTCGCGCTTCGTCAGCTGATTTCATATGGGAATCAAAGTTGCCTTCGAATTATCGTGTTATTGCACACAAGGTGTTTGATGAAATTACTCTGAGGAAATTAATTAAGAAAGATCTTTATGCTAAGCTTAGCCGGCCTAATCTCTTCGAAGATGGCACAAAGGTTCGAAATTTTGTTCCCGTTGCATCTTTCTCTTTAAATCTTAGAAAAAGAAACAAAATTTTCTCATTTTCAAACTTTTTATGCTTGAGCAGGAATTGTGGATAGATAAGAACACGGGTCGTCTTTGTTTATCTATTTCTTCAAAGGCACTAAGGATTACTGGAATTGATGATCGGAGATACTGGAGTCATATCCCAACCGATGAATCCAGGTAATTCAAACTATAGATTAACGATCAAAGGTGTGGACTTTTCTTTGAAATTTCATCAGTTTGACTATCTTCTTGTCTTGTTTAGACTCTGGTATTGTTGACCATCTTGTTAGTTTCAACTAGATTACATGGTTTTAATTGATAGAAAGCGTTATGTTGCTTGCAATGAGCTTGTATCCCAAATCTTGAATTACTTGTGATCAATGAGTAATCTCTTCCAATATGTATATGCAGGTTCCAGTCAGTTGCTTATGTTCAACAGATATGGTGGTTTGAAGTAGGAGGAGAGTTTGAGATCCAGTTTCCATCTGGAACATACAGTCTCTTCTTCCGTATCCAGCTCGGTAAAACATCGAAGAGGCTTGGAAGGAGGATCTGCAACTCTGAACATATTCATGGATGGGACATAAAACCTGTGAGGTTCCAGCTCGCCACTTCAGACAACCAACAAGCTGTTTCATTTTGTTATCTGAATAAGAACCCTGGGAGCTGGAGTCACTATCACGTTGGAGATTTCAAAGTGACAAATCCAGATATATCAACCGGAATCAAATTCTCGATGACTCAAATCGATTGCACTCACACGAAAGGTGGGCTATGCATAGACTCTGTTCTTATATTACCTAAAGACTGTGCAAAAGAAGTCATTGGATCACAATAGTTTTGTAGATATAGAGTGAGAGATTGTTGTAAAGGGTGAGAGAATATTTTTTTCAGTGAAACATTCACTATACTCTGCTTTTTTCTTGATCTGGGATGCATTCTCAAGATGAATCTCAGATCTGGAACTTGTGTACACATAGTTGGGTTGTCTCTAGTTTTGTCTGTAGTGATTGTAAGTACAAGTTCTCCATTCAGAGATTATAACACTTTTTGCTTCTTCTTTTACCGCAAAAGTTGATGAAAACATGAATATTGAACATGGAATGCTTTCCTCTCTACTATGTAGAAACAGAGTCTTGTTCAAAATGAGAAAGTACACAAAATTCTCAAGCTCAGATTGATTGAACTCACATATAAGATGGCTTTATGCATAGACTCTGTTCTTAACTTCTTATATTACCTAAAAATAATGTGCAAAAGAAGAAGTCACTGTTTCAGTAAAACATTCATTACTATGTAGAAACAGAGACTTGACCAAAATGAGAAACAAACACAAATTTCTAATCAAGAAATCTTGAGGATGTATAATAATTAAAAATCTTATTATAAAAATTATCAATATTCTTGCAAAGGAGTATAAGAGCAGCAAATTCATTCAAAGGAGCAACATAGACTCCTTAGAATACCTGAACACAACAGGTTTACTAATGAATATGAAACAATTATTCTGAAAGTCTAGAGAACAAGTTTCTTCTGTCTTCATGGTGTCTTCAACTTGGGGCGCGACGGAAGCAACTGTGTGGTTACAGAAGAAAAAATGGAGAATTATTTTAGAAATCGGACAAGGATGAGAAACTGGAAGTGGGTTTGTGGAAAGAAAGAGAGCGAGAGTTTACCTGATAACAAGAGATAAGTGAGGTGGTAAACCCGAAAGCGCCAGTGACACGAGGACTAACCGTCTTTGGAGCTAATTGAAGGAGACCAATGGCTACAACAATGTCCATGCTTGATTTAATCAAAGCTAGAGTTCTGTCGTTTGATTTCTGACGCTTAGCACGATACAGCTCATCCTGCGTTTTTTACAAAGAGAATGAGTTTATATAAAGATATAAGAAGAAAGATGAGAGAGTTTACAGAGGAGAGTTTTTACATGATGCTTTTCGTCATCTTTGAGTTCCTTTTCCATCTTCTTCATAGATGAAGAGAGCCTTCCAAGCTCACCAATCTGATACACATGAGAAGATCAGGATCAGTATTTATGTTTATACGCGGGCATATCAAAATGTCGAGAAAGAGGAGACTAAAAATACCTCGACTGCACTTGTACAAACGGATGATCCCAGCCAGCAGAAAAGTGATATACGTCCAAGCAATTCAGTTCGTTCTTTGTTCTGCGATGCGATTGAACAAGAATGTTTAGTCACTTAGCAGAGAAAATGAACATCAAAACTTCAATAGACCAATATAGATTGTTTGCTTTAAACTTATCTCACCTTATATATGCCGGATCTACCAAGCCAGACGATTTGATCAAGAAACAAGAAGGTAGACAAGAGAGCATTCTTCGACTGAAACGGTCAACCAACAAACAAAACCAAAAGTTAAAAAGATTGAATCAAATCAAGATAAGAACAAATGTTGTAAGAAATCAATAATCTCTTTCTGGCACCTTCCCGAGTAAGACAAGAGGAAGCGGTGTTCCTTTAGGCACGGGGCTGATAAGACCGTGAAAATCATTGACAAACTGCACATTTGTAATCATTTTTGAATCAGATAACAAAAAAGTTGCAATCCAATATAAGAAGGCAAGCAACAATGAAGTCAAAACAAAGATAGAAATCGAAAAAACCTTGAAAAGACGGAAAACTTTTCGAGCCAAGCTGGTGTTTTTGTCAACAGTTTGAGCAGTACCAGGTTGCCCACCGCTCAAGAATTTGGAACCATACTGGATAGCTCTGCATATCTTATCTCTAGCCTCAGCTTTGTTCAAATAGAGAACAATAAGAGCAAGCTCGGCTCTGGACAAATCTAGTGTAGTCATGCTTTCTTCTGTCAAAAAACCAACAACACAGAAGCCAAGATTCATTCAACACACTTCTTCATGAGCTCAAAGCCTCAAAACTAAACTATGAAACAAAATCTAGAAACAGAGTTGTTCCCTTGTAAATTAAACCCAAAAAACGTCAAGAGCTATAGCAAGATTCACCCTTTGAATAAAGTCAGCGTTTGATTAATAAGAAACATAAGAAAAATGTTGGCTTTGATCAAATTCAAGCTAGAACATTAACTTCATCACCAACCACAAAGACTTAAACACAACAAATGTAATTAGCAAGTATACAAAATGAAAAAGAACGTCAAATCTAAGGCATGTGAAACTTCAAAACATTCCAACATTAAAAAAATTACAGAAATTGGGATGCCATTTACCTAGATGATCACGATTACGACGACCCAGGAGATGATACAATTGAGAGCAATTCAGCCTTCAAAAGACGCAAAAACCCAGAAAGATTATAAATAGAAAATATCAAAATTTCGTGTAAGTGGATCCGAGATTTATTGCCTTTAGAACATGGTAAAGCTTAGCTGTTCTTACTTATAATGTCAAATTATCTTCCTCGTTTTGTGTCATCGGAGATAGAAACTATCTGATAAAGGCGTGTTTGGTCATCTCTCTTTTTTTATTTCTTTCTTTATAAATAAACCAAAACGCATCGTTTCAATCAACCATCTAATCTCCTGATCGTTTCATTTCTAACCGTCGATAAGTTCCGTGTACGCCACCACAGGCCTCATCTATACGCGCGTGTGATACACACGTGGCACACTTATCGAGGAAGGAGAAAACCGCCAAGTAAACGCAGCGTTTTGTAGAATTAATGGGCCAGGCCTTGAGAAGCCTTTTTTGAAAAAAGTTGGTTCTGAAGTTAAACAAGACAAGGATGAAGATAGTGTTGTGTCCAAATAGTCCTCGAAAGAAGCTTTGACGGGAAATTGAATAACGGCCACATGAAGAGTTACCAAAGCCGGAGAAGAAGAATATGGCGGTGGCGTCTCTTAGTAGTTGCTTCTCTGCTCGACCAAATCTTCTTCTTTGCAACTTATCTCCTCGACCCAAAATTTTTGCTAGTAAGTTATCTTTAGCTTATGTTGGTGTTGGAGGAACAATGTTTTGCTATAAAGGAAGCAAATTACGAATTCTGAGTTTCTCTGTTCTCAAAAGAGAAAATTTTAGTTACTGTTTTGATTCATTCGAACTAGTTTCATCCTATGTACTTGATGGGTTTCTTACTATTTGAATTTTTCATTGTTTGGTTAGTGGCTGCAATGAGTGAGGATCCAATTCGTGAATGGATTCTTACACAAGGAAAAGCGACTCAGATCACAAAGATTGGTTCTGTTGGTGGTGGATGCATTAATCTTGCAAGCCATTATCACACTGATGCTGGTTCTTTCTTCGTTAAAACTAACAGGTGTATAAAAATGTGTCTTGGTTTTAGTACTTTTATGGGTTTATTATCACTTGACCATTCACAGTCAGACTTTTAATGTTTTGTTGTTTGTAACACTGGTTTTAGGAGTATTGGACCTGCCATGTTTGAGGGAGAGGCTCTTGGTCTTGAGGCTATGTATGAAACCAGAACAATCCGTGTGCCTAAGCCACACAAAGCAAGTTTAATCTTTCTTTTCCTTTGGCGTAGATATATTATCTCTTTGTTGAACTCTCTAATCATAGATTCTTGTTTATAAGTGTTAACAGGTTGGGGAATTTCCTACAGGTGGATCTTATATAATCATGGAATTTATAGATTTTGGGGGATCAAGAGGCAACCAGGTGATAATGATGAATCTTAACTATGAGCCAATGTTAAGTACTTCAGTTTCATGGGTTCATGGTTACTAGTCATCAGGCTGAATTAGGAAGGAAGCTCGCTGAGATGCATAAAGCCGGGAAATCTTCGAAAGGCTTTGGCTTTGAGGTTGACAACACTATTGGCAGGTGGAATGAATCCCATTTTCAAAAATCTTAGTCCCTTTGATTTGAGTTTCTGTCTTCTCTCACAAACTTAACGATGCAATGTGCCTATTTTAGTACCCCGCAGATCAATACTTGGTCATCGGATTGGATTGAATTTTATGGTGAGAAGAGACTGGGCTACCAGCTTAAGTTAGCTAGGGATCAGTATGGTGACTCTGCAATTTATCAGAAAGGTTTCTTTCTGTCTTCTCTGTCGTTATTAACTTTGTGAGGAGATATTGGTTTAGTAACATCTGAAAATATATTTGAACAGGTCATACACTGATACAGAACATGGCATCTCTCTTTGAGAATGTTGTCATAGAACCATGCTTGTTACATGGTGATCTCTGGAGCGGGAATATCGCATACGACAAGAACAGCGAACCTGTCATTCTTGATCCTGCCTGTTACTGTATAAACTTTCTTTCATAAGTTCTTAGACATATTTACCATTTTCAAGAACCGTCTTGATCTCATTCCTCCGTAGATGGGCATAACGAGGCGGATTTTGGAATGTCGTGGTGCGCAGGATTTGGAGAATCTTTCTACAATGCCTATTTCAAGGTTCTCTTCCTTTTCTCTCAGAGTGTCTGTATCAACTAAATTAAGTTTAAAGGTTGTTTGTTTATAATTATATTAGACAGCTGATGTTTTGTTTCTTTGACTTTCTCAAGGTAATGCCAAAACAACCGGGATATGAGAAGAGAAGGGATCTGTATTTGCTCTATCATTACTTGAATCATTATAACCTGTTTGGCTCGGGCTATCGATCATCTGCAATGTCGATCATTGATGATTATCTGCGGATGCTCAAAGTTTAAGATGAGGAGGGAAGCTGCTGCTTATAGGCTTTCTTTTGTGTGTGTATATGCTTGTTTGTGTGTTTGGTGTTATGTAAGGTGTTATTTTTCTTCATGTAAAACCCTAAAACAATGGTTTATACGAAGAAATATGGCTAATACATGTTTAAATCGATGATCTGGTTGTACATAGGGTGACAATGGAGAGAAGAATTCACAATCGATTTTAAACATTGTCAAATACTAACTAGTAATAAAAGCATATAGTTAATGACAAGAGTTACTAAGGTCTGGTTCTTGGGTTTTGGTAATAGGGTCTCCTCCAGCTGAGAGACTTTCCCAAATCCATTCATCGGTGATAATCTCGTCCAAAGGCTTTCTGCAGTTGGAACATCTTTTGTGTGCGTTTTCTGGCTCTGCTACGAGAATGTTGAAATTCAAGTTCTTGTACATTATGAGAGAAGAGGCGAACTCAGTGTTGTCTCGTGACATTACCATCAAAGTTGATTTACGATTGTCAAATCCCCAGCAAAAGAAATCATTCCCCATCCTCATATATCTCGCTCTTGCATCTCCTGAAACCATCAACAGAGATCTCTAAGATACGGACATAGAGTAAAAGAGAAAGAGAAGAGCAAGTGTTAAACCTGCGGGTAAGAACATGATATCAGCGAGGAGAAAGTCATCCTTGAACTTATTAGTCTTCTCACCATAAACTCTGATTGAAACATTACAAGGACGATAACCCTTTTTCTCAAGAGCTAGTTTGATATTCTCACAAACCATAGATGGCTCCATACCATCAGGGACTGGGCATTCCTCCACGTCCCAGAAGACGCCTACCTTAGTCTCTGTCAGCAAAGGTTTTTAGAAAACGGAGAATGCATTACAAATCAGCATCGACAGAATTCAATTGATTACAACGACATGATAGAGAGAAAGAGAGCTGACCCGCATTTTCGCTGGTCAAAGAAGACATGGTTTCGAGTGACCTAGACTGAGATCTTCTTCTTCTGAACAAAGCTGACAACTTTGGTTCCTCCTCTAGGACAAAAGTGAAATTGTTTCCGTATTAATTGTGAAAGGGTTAGTAATGGGCTCTGGTTGGGCTTTTAATAAATGGTCCCGGAAATCGTTTTATAAAGAGGTTGCATTCTGTACAACGAAGTTAATGGGCTCTTGTTGGGCTCTTTTGAATGTGTATGTGTTGTACTAGCCTACTAGGGTCTGCTTATTCAAATACTGAACAACGCATAGTTGCTCAAAACATGAATACTGAACATAGAATGCTTTCCTTTCTACTACTATATACAACGTGAGTCTTGTTCAAAATGAGAAACAAACACAAACCTCTCTAGTCAAGAATTCTGTGCAAGTATCATATTCAGTCTTATTACAAGATTTATCATTATTCATACAAAAGAAAGGAGAGAGTTTAAGAGCAGCATATTCATTCAAAGGAGCAACAAAAGCCAAAAATCAGATTCCATAAAAGGGACCGGTCTGTCTATATAAATGATCCTAAATCAAACACAGAACACGTTAACAAGATTTACTCTTTTGATTAAAAATGCACGTCTGATTAATGAGAAACAGAGGAAAAATGTTAATACGAAGAAGAAAATACATGATGAGATCGATTTACTGGTTGTACATAGGTGAGTCGGTTTAAACGTTTCAATAACTAACTAAGCTCTGCTGCTCTGGTGATAGGGTCTCCTCCAACTGATAGGCTTTCCCAGACCCATTCTTGAGTGAAAAGCTCGTCCAAAGTCGTCATTTTGCAGCTGCTACATTTGCCTGGTGCGTTTTCTGGCCTTGCCCCGAGAATCTTGAAGTCTTTGGCTTTCCAATCTGCGAGATAAGTGGCCAACTCCGTGTTGACTCGTGAGATTACCATCAAATCTGATTTACCATTGCCCAATGCCCATTTATCAATATCCTTCACCATCCTTTTACATCTCGCACTTGCATCTCCTGAAACCATAATTATAGTATATCAACGGAGAGATCTAAGACAAAAAAAAGGAGTGCTAAAGAGAGAGAGGAAATGATGACCTGCGGGCAAGAACATGATATTAGCGAGGAGAAACTCATCCTTGAACTCATAATTCTTCTTACCATAAACCCTGATTGACACATTACAAGGAAGATAACCCTGTCTCTGTAGAGCTAGTTCGATATTCCCAGAAACCAAAGAAGGCAAGAGATCATCAGGGAGTGGGCATTCTACTACGTCCCAGAAGACAACTATCTTTGTCTCTGGATACAAAAACGGGAAAATGCATTCACAATCAGCTTCCATACAATACAATTGATTTAGACTTCCACATACCAACTACTGAGAGAGAGAGAGAGAGAGAGAGAGAGCTTACCAGTGGCCATTGTTTCGACCAAAACCGATAAATTAGGGTTTTAGAACTGCGGCGGTGGAAGAGTTCTCTGGTTTTGGTTGGGCTTAAGAAAAAATGGTCCTAGAGAGTTTGGTTTAATATTTTAGAAATTGAAATAGAGCATCAAAAGTTGATATGGCCGAGTTGGTCTAAGGCGCCAGATTAAGGTTCTGGTCCGAAAGGGCGTGGGTTCAAATCCCACTGTCAACAATTTCATTTTTTTTTTTTTTTTTGGGTAGATGACTCTTTCTTAAAAATAAAGCCTCTAATTCGATTAGAAGGTCCGAAAGGGTAGCAAGGTCAGATTAAGGTGTTAATATAAAAGGAGACATTAAGTGGTAACCCTAGAAGACCTTTCTCTCTCGCTTGTTGTTGCCGTTGCTTGCTATCTTTCGCCGTCGTCTCTTGAGATTCTTGCGAAGATGGTTAGTTCTCTCTTTGCACTTGCTTCTCGTCCTAATCTCTCCATTTACATCTCTTGATTATGATTTTCTTATAGAAATATGAATCCTTTTAGTGAAATTTCGAGTCACACAAGTTCCTCCCTTGTGTAAATACGCTTTTGATCTCTTCTTCTATGAAAAGCTTGAGTCTTTAGGTTTCAATCACGTTTACGAAATCTGAATTAGCTTATTAGAAGTGTGGTTTTCGTCTTTTGATTTGTTTTTTTGCTTGAATCTTTGATGTGGAACAGGTTCTTCAAAACGATATCGATCTGCTTAACCCACCTGCTGAGCTTGAGAAGAGGAAGCACAAGCTCAAGCGTCTTGTTCAGTCTCCCAATTCCTTCTTCATGGTAATGAAAATTTGAAACCTTTCTCTTTGTTAGATTTGTATGTAAGTATGGAGTTTGTGAATTTGATTTTCTCATCATCCCTAGGTTTGAGAATCTGTTATGTGATCACTATTTTAACTTAGTTTTATTAGGCTTATCTAGCCGTCTTTGTACTCTACTTGTAGTTTTTGTTGTTGAACCTTTGGCAATGAGGTGATTATATTGAAACACTTTGTTGCTACAGAATCACTTAAAACCATATCTTTCTGGTTGACTCTGATTGTTGTTTCTTTTGTTGTTTATCTTAATACTGTAGGATGTGAAGTGCCAAGGCTGCTTCAACATGTAAGATCTGAAAACAATTTTTTCATTCATTCCTTTTTGTGATATTACGTAGAGATATTGAGGAACACAAACTTATCGGGTTATATTTTGGTATGTCAGCACGACTGTTTTCAGTCACTCGCAGACTGTTGTGATGTGCGGAAACTGCCAGACAATTCTGTGCCAGCCTACAGGAGGAAAGGCAAAGCTCACCGAAGGATGCTCTTTCAGGAGAAAGGGAGATTGATTGAAGCAATCGTCAATCCTCAAATCAACGCTGGTTTTTTTTTTGTTTTGTTGTTGGCTATGATATTATGTCTGGATCTTTAAAATGTTTGGATTTTTAATATAATTAAGCAGGAGTTTGTTATTTTACTTTTGAGATTATTCCCAAGTCTTAATAGTTTACTCTTTACTGCTTCAATGCTTGCATCTTATCCCTAATCCATTTAGCAAGTGCTTTTTTGGTTTACATCGATACTTGTCAATTTTTTGCTTAAAATCCTCTGATTTATAGTGTGTTTTGCACATTATATTTCGTCAACAAAGTAATGACTTTAGAATTTTAACTTTGGTTGGCCCGTTTGTGTTTGAAGCAACCATGTGGTGATTCTGATTCTAATCTCACATAATAGCATTAGATTATGTTTATGGATCCCAAACGCCGTTTTTTAACACTGAAAGTCAAGGTTCTCTCTAGAAACCAAAGACAGGTGAGCAGGGAAAAGAAAAGAAAGAAGCTTTAAAGAGTAAAAAAGCCTTTCATGAACATTTCAGGGCTTTCCTTGATAAGTGGTAACGAATGCATGAAAGCAAATCCTTCATTGTCAACTATTAATGTCAACTATTAATGTATGAAACAGGAGGGTAAAGGAGGAGAAAACCAGTGAGCTTTTTAGATGACTGCAAACTGATTGGTATTTAAAATGATATTAAATCAACAAAAAATACAAGCTCATGATGATATCTTCCTGAAAGAGCATCCTTCTGTGAGCCTGGCCTTTCCTCCTGTAGGCTGGCACAGAACGTTCTGGCATTTTCCCCATACCACGACTGTCTGTGAGTGACTGAAAATAGTCGTGCTGCGATACCATAAACACAAACGATAAGTTTAAGTTTCTCGTCAAACAGAGAAAAAATTGTTTTCAGATCTTACATGTTGAAGCAGCCATAGCACCTCACATACTACAGTAAATTAAACAACAATCAGAGTCCATAGAGAGAGTAGATTAACTTCATACAAGTAAATGAGAATCCGATTAAAAAATTGAAGTATTTCAGTTTCTGAACAGAGAGATTTGGTTTTTCAGGATTCTAAAAAAGGAGAAAGGTTTCAAACTTTCATTACCATGAAATAGGAATTGGGAGACTGAACAAGACGCTTGAGCTTATGCTTCCTCTTCTCAAGCTCAGCTGGAGGGTTAAGCAGATCGATATCGTTTTGAAGAACCTGTTCCATAGCAACAAGTATTAACTTTGCATCAACTCAAATCAAATGACAAATTAAACCACACTTCTAATTAGCTACTTCCCATTTTGTTACCGTGATTTAAAACCTAATAACCAGCCTTACGTGATGGAAGAATTAAGAGATCCAACGAGAATTTACACATCTCCCGAGTATCACGAAAGTGCAAGAGAGAACTAACCATCTTCGCAAGACTCTCAAGAGACGACGGCGAAAGATATCAAGCAACGGCAACAATACGCGAGAGAGGTTTTTATAATTACTCAAAGCCGGTTGTGAAGAAACGAGGATAGGAAGTTATTAGGTTACTTGGATACCAATTAATCTAGAAATCTTAGGGCCTAGAGCATCTACATAGTATGAAAAACACAGCAAATTTGACCTTTTAGACGTATTAGAGGCTTTACATTCTCTTTTATTTTATTTTATTTTCTATTTAAATTAAAGAGAGTCGTTATCTTTTTCAAAATTCCTGTAGAAAATAGAAATAATATTTTTTAGTAATTATTTTAATTTTTTTTTATTTGACAATTTGTAAATTTTGTTAATCCAAAAGAAAATATAAACAAAAAAAGATTAATTCCTAAATTTGTCTTGTTTTTTTTTTTTTTTTTTTTACTTTTTCTTATGCAAGTCCTATTTCCAAACATTTTCCTGTATGTAGAGAGAATTTCAATGATACACTACATCCATAAGGCACACTGCATTAAAGCAACCATGCGGTGATTCTGATTCTAATCGCTAAGATTCATAACTCAATTATTACAAATTATAACTCAGAAGTAACAATGAGCCAGAGGGTTACAAAGCTTTGTGGAATGTTCATCACAAGTTGTTGGAAAAGAGCAGAATGATTGGTGGTCATGGCTCTGCTATTTCAATACTCATCCACCGTGCAGAGTCGAAATGAAAACTATAACATCTTTATCTTCTAATGTTGTATCGAGCTGGCCGCTAAGTTCCCAATCGCAGTCGTTAACCAGCACGAGAACTCCAGGTCTCCTGCGTGATTCAAAAACACCATTGTTATTAAACACTAAAAATCAGGGTTCTTGCTAGAAATCAAGGAAAGAAAAGAAAGAAGCTTTACACAGTATCGCCTTTCATGAACATTTCAGGCCTTTCCTTGATTACATTGGTACGAACCCATGATAGCAAATCCTTCATTGTCAACTATTATAATGAATGAAACACCAGTGAGCAGGTTTTACATGACTAGGGACTCATTGGTCTTAAAAATAATCAAAAGCGACAAGACAAGCTTACGATATCAGATTCATTGGGGAAGTTGATGTTAACTTTATGAATCTTGACGGAGTCACAGAGCAATTCTAAACCTCCGCTGCAGGATCATATTTTCATGTTAATACCAATCCGAATCTCATTCAACAAAGAGCTGACCGGAATGTAAAAAAGGCCTAAAGTCAATTCTGATTTTCCCAATCCAAAAATCATATTACTTCATTAGTACTGAAAAAGCAAAACAAAGATAGGTTTATGCTATGTGCATAATAATAATATCCCAACCAAACAGGGAAATCATAATCGAAAGCACTAATTTTTGTCAGATTTTTCCTCAACTTCCCGACCAATAAGAATCAACTGAAAGAAATCAAACCATAAGAGTACCCGAATTCAAGAGTTAATTGCATCTTCAGTGACGTTTTGCAGGAATCGGTAACAAAACCCTTCTCTTCTTCTTCTTCTTATCCGATTCTCTCCGATCTCCGCTTTATGTTCACGCGAGAAACGAGGACAAGCAGCAAACACTATACGACGACGATGTTCTGTTTCTTTTGGGCTCTTAAATTTAGGCCCATGATTACCAAATACCACAGCCCATTATATTTTTAAAAATACCCAATCGCTTATTAGCTTGGGTTTGTCAGAATCACAACCGAGAATCACAACCGAGATCACAACATTCTCTGCCTTCTTCATTTAAACTGTAGGTAGACTTTTTTACACATATACCTTGCTATGGTGGACTGTTCCCTTCCATTAAAACATTTTTTCCTATGTTGAGAATCCGCCGAATAAGAAACGAAAAGACCATTTAATATAACTTCAAAGCGGGTTTTTTTTTTTTCTCATTTTTGATGTGTTTCGTTTATCGCCTTTGTCTTTTTTTTTTTTTTTGTCAATATCGCCTTTGTCTTTTGTGTGTGTTTTTACCATTTTATTTAGTGTTTCCACTAGCGATCGTTTGGGTGTTGTGTATTGATTAAAAAACAGCAATTTGAGTGTGTTTTGTTTATCATCTTTGTGTGTGTGTTTTTGTGCGATTAAAAAAATTGTATTTGTATTTTTGTTTGTTTTGTCTAGTGACTAGGAATCGTTTGGTATTTTTGTGTGTTGTTTTTGATTATAAAAATTTTGAGATGTTTGTTTGGTGCTTTTGGGTGTAGTAGCTTTGAGTTTCGATTACTGTTTGTTGGGTGTGTTTAGGCATGGGCAAAAAACCCGGACCCGATATCCGAACTGATACTCGGACCGAAAAAATCGGTTGGGTCAAAAATACACATGTTTATATATATGTATATAGATAATAGATATATAGTCTTTATATAGTTATGTCCTAGTTATGTTTATATAATTAGAATTTACTCTTAACACTTAAGAGAATACCCGAATGGACCATTCAGTACCCATGCCCAGGCCTAGGTGTGTTTTTTTTTTAGTGTTATCTTTCCGACTCTGTGCTTGCTCTCACACACATTCACACCCCTATACATACATCTAGTTTACATATGAGACACATTCGTGCCATGCATGAGACACATTCACACCCTATCATACATCTATTATGCATCTGAGACACATTCACACCCTATCATACATCTATTATGCATATGAGACGCATGCACACCCTATCTATCATACATCTATTATGCATATGAGACACATTCACACCCTATCATACATCTATTATGCATATGAGACGCATGCACACCCTATCTATACATCTATCTATACATCCTTCATAAAAAAAAATAAAAAATACACATATTGCATGTGACATACACATCCGTGTTAACAACTTCAAAATACTGCCCAAGCTTCAACAGGAAAGCTCACGGGCACACACAGTCACTTGTGCACACTCTGCAAAATCAAAATAAATCGTCATTACAATCGTTTTCTCTACTGGTCAACAATATTGGTACATATTGCATTAAGTACGTTTCTTACAAATAAAAAAAAAAAAAAAAAAAATTCTTTGGTTTTTCACAACAATTATAAACACATTCTACGTTTTCTTAGACAAATCATATATAAACAACTCATAAAACCATCATACATCAAATTCATCTCACATCAATGAAGTCAATATATAGCTTGATGTACAATTAAAGACAAAACATATCTAACAAAAAATCAGTTTATTAAAGACATATATATATATATCTAAAAATCAGTTTATGATCAGAGCCACATCATTAGAGTCAAGATATATAAAATCGATTTAAGATGTTTGAAAGATGACGTACAAGGTACTTAACAGAGACTAACAAAAATCTTTTAATGGTAAACAAACTATAGATTATTTTACCTGTAAGATGATGCCTTTATGTTTATTTGAGTGACAACACAAGTGGGAGAACGGAACACAAGTCGGAGAACAGAACTGAGTTGATGACAGCAGAGTGTATTTGACATTTGTAAGAAAAAAGAAAGGAAGACACGGGTAAGAGAATTCAGATCTTCTGTCCGAAGAAAGGAGTACTTATAGAGTCCATTGTCTCTCATTAAAAATATTAATTCAAACGGTCAAAAAATGTTACCGTTTCACAACGTTCGTTTATTCCTACTCTCAAGTCAGACTCGTGTAAGAAGAATAGAAGAAGAGTCCATTATCTTAATTATTTTCATTATAAATATTAATTCCAACGGTCGGATTAAAATGTTAAAAAAAGTTTAATAAAAAATTTTAATTCAAAAAATGTTACCGTTCCACAACGTGAATATTTTTCTACTCTCAAGTCAAATCATAACAAAACGTTCGAATAGTTTGGGAAATCGTAAACGCACTAAAGTAAAAAGTAATTTAATTCATTTATCTGCTATCAATCTTTTGAATTATTCAAGTATTAAATCTGTAGGCTTAATAACACTAGTACACTACTACTACTATTTGAAAGGCATTCTTTTTTATTCTTCGATTCTATTTTTTTTTTTCTTTTTTTTTTTTTTGTGTGTGCTACTCTTCAGATATTTTAATACGAGTTTCAAGTCCACTAGTAGAAAGTAAATTCGGTTGAAATCGTTCATTAACAAACAATACATACAACACCTTTACGAATATGAAACGGCTGAGTTAACAAAAAATCTACTAATCGCAAAAACATTAATTAGATATAATGTAAGAATCTGTAAGTGGTACATACTTATCGCATATATAACCTCCACTAAATCAACAACGAGAACTCTAACAAATAATTGAAAGAAAAGAGTATGTATGTCCTTATAGTAAATGACCTAAACGCTTCGTCGTGACTAGTTAGTCAATACCAAGTCAACGAACCCATCATTGGACAAAGTTGGTCTCAACATCACTTCTTGCATTACTCTTTGACACCGAAGATCCTTCACCTTGCTCATAGTGTTGTTGAAACCTACATGTATCCCATAAGGCCAAATTTATTCATATAGCCAAGACTTGTATTTCATCGTTAGAGAAGGAGAAATATCGATTATTACGTACCCAATCGGTAAAAAGTATCCCACGTCGCAATCTAATATATAATTTTGATGAGATGATTGAAACGCAAAATCAGTGGAACAACCGGCCGTGAGCACCGGGTTAAGCAGTAGGTCTTGAAAGCCTCTAAAATCATGATCTTCGGTCTCAAGCTGATTATGAAGATTATTCATTTTATAAGATTTATGAATAGACGACAAGACACTAAATAATTACTGTAACACAAAATAATAGTAATTAAGAAAGACTTGATATATAATTCGGATGCCCAATTAAAAACATTAACCTTAAGCTTATTGTTTATATCTCCAAGCTCCCTCTCCTGCCATATCCAAATACAAATGATATACACATGAGTACATTTACATACATGCATGCATATATTGTAGAGCATAATTTCGAGTACTTACCTTTCTCCGAAGCTCTTCCATTTGTTCCATCGCAACCTGCGTCTGCATACACATACATGCATATAAAGATATACATTTTAAGGTTTGTATTTTATAAAGTAAATCTAAATGATGCGAATGAAACAAAATTGGTCTATGTATGAAATATGTCCTGCCTTGTGTTTTCGGGTTGCGGAAAGAGCTCCTTCTAGCTGTCTCTCGAGCGTCTGCAGTTCCTTTAAACTCATCCCTTCAAGATCTTCCCCAACCAAATTTCTTTGTATGTCAACGATTCAAAATGATTATTAGTTGCAGAAATTAGAAAATGAACAATTATAGGAAATAATGGATTACGAGGACTACGATTAATTAAACCTATGAGTGCGGAGAAGAGATTCATATTTGGATTTCAGCTTTGTCACCTCTTGACGCAAGCCCTGCACCAAAAACAGAAGATTAATTAGAATTTATTTTAGCTTCTCATAATGTTTTGTTTATTTTATACAATTTAATATTTAATTTGACCATGTATACAAGAATGAATAAGGTCAAATTCCGTATATATAATTTTAAGTGAACATACTTAGGAATTAAAGAAAATGATTGACCTGAGTATCTTCAAGCGTATCATTATTGTCCAACAAATTGTTTTTACAGCGATAGTACCTCTCAATGGTTCTGCCAACTCTACAGTTTATAAACAAAAGAAACCACGTACAAGAGATATTTAATTACTAATCTGAATTTGCTTAAATTCAAAACCAAAGAAACAAAACTTTAGTTCCCTGATGACTAAAGTTAACTCTAATTACGCAAAAAAAAAATCGCGGGAAGATATATCTGCTAATGGATCTACGATATCTCTACCCATGATGAACCCTATTTAATTTCTCTAATTATAATTAGAAAGACACATCTATTCAGAGGAGGCAAAACGTATATATGGGGTTTCATGAATCTTATACATATCAAAGCTGGTGATAACACAATTAAAACCCATAAACAATTAACGAAGTTTTCTTAATTTTTAAAAGATTTACCGGATCTAAAAGCTAAAGCTGACCCACGTACGTGTCCGATGGATCCTGAGAGATCGATCGATGGTGATCACTGATCAACCTTAACTAGTTAGGGTTAGAACTAAAAAGACACAACCTTTTTCAGATACCCACATCCCACAAAACAGAACTTTGGTTTCTTGATCTTAATTAAGAACAGACACAAATCAAACCTAGATGATCTTAATCATATTACCCATTAAAACCTAGGTTGCTGGGTATACGTACCCGACATTGCTGAACTCGTAGAGCTTGCCACCGTTGGAGAAGATTATGAGAGAAACCTCTGCATCACATAGAACAGAGAGTTCGTAGGCTTTCTTGAGCAAACCACTTTTTCTTTTGGAGAAGGTTACTTGTCTAGTGATCTTGTTCTCAATTCTCTTCACTTCCACTTTCCCTCTTCCCATCTCCCTCGCTCTGTCTCTTCTTTCTACGTTTCTTGTCTTTAATATCTCTCAATATTGGAAATTTCTTTAACAAAAAAAAAAAATATTGGAAATTTACATATATATGATATATCAATCAAAAGGAATCCCAATACTTTAGTTCTATACTGCTATTGTTGGATATACGTAAAAATGTGTATTTATTACCCCCTTTAGTTTCTCTTTTTCTTATCAAATTATTTAAGCCACACATAGAGTGGAACCGAGTTTTATCTCATCATAAAGTTGTTATTTGAATTACCCATGCAAGAAGAATTACCCATAGAGTACTGTAAAATGGTAATGATCATCATTACGAAACGAAACGAAAACTCTTTTGGTTAGATTAAAAAATAAAATAATTGATAGGAACAAAACGAAAACTTTCTCCTACCTAGAAATAGAAATATATGCAAATACAGTTGGACCACTGGAAAAATCATCATTATTTCTTTTAATATCAGCATTTGTTCAAAGTTCAAACTGACACTTAAGAAAAAATCGACATTCCTTTTTTAATATGCAACAGTTGGACCAAATCTTTTTACTAAAGTTTACATCTATTGATTCAAACTAACACTTTTATAAAATTGATTTTATTTTTTTTGTTCGGTGACTATGATGTCGTCAAGGTTTGTATATGTAAATAATTAAACTGTTCATCCAATCATCCACTAAATGTTGTTCAACCTGAATGAAGTTACAGTATAAAATCAACACTAATGACAGAAAAAAAAAGATGTACCAAAAGAAATGTGTAAATATATTGCGTGTGTGAAGTTTATTACTGGTTCGGGAAGTTATAATTTGGTGAAAAGACGCAGGAACGTTCATCATTTGTTGTTGGAAAAGTTGCATTCCTTTTCAAAAGAAAAAGTAAGGTTTTAAGAAAAAACATTTCAAGAGAAAACTATTATTGAGTACATCTTATTTAATTTTGAATAATGATAAACATGGTTTGGCAACTGAATGAAACATTTACCAAGGTTGTATTTTATCATTATTACAAAAATAAAGTTAGCTCAAAAAATATCATCACTAGTACTTGCAGTGTATTTTAAATCATTTCTTAAAAACACAAACAAATTACTATCATTTTTATTTTGTATAGTCATTACATACATGCAAAATTTTATATTAAATTATAAAATCATGCCATACTATACTCCTAGACGAAAATTGAATTGTTAAAGTAAATTATTAAATTAATGTGTTTTCATAAACACTGAAAAAAAAAAAAAACTTGGATTAAGCTTGGCCTTATAAGTTTTGTTTGTAACATCTGGCCTTATAAGTTATAATATATACAAAAAGCCCATTTAATTATTAATGTGTCACACATATATTTTTTCATCAGTCCAAAAAGAAAAGAAAAAAACAAATCAATTTTATGTTCGTTTGGTATAATATGGGTTTTAACTTTAATCGAGTAAACCGGATAGGAAGAGATTCGTAAATTGCAATCGATAAAAGAGATCTGTGTCAAGTACGCGTGAGGTTCTCTCTTCCCTGCAAACAAAAATCCTGGCGTTGATAGCGATTGGTTAATTGTCGGTGTATCAACGTTTTTCTGTTGCACACGTCAATCAATCATCATCTTCTTTCTTCATACTCTCTTCTTCTTCTTCAATTCCTAGTTTTCTCTTCATCGCCGTTGTGCTAGAGTTTGTCAGATCTCGCTGGGAAATTGGCAATGGCGTTTTAGTCTGTTTACCTGTGAAGCCTGGATTCTTCTCAAATCTCTGACCTGATCTCTTATTAGATTCCGAGTATGATTTGTTTCTCTCCTTCATTATTCGGGTTGCTTCCACGGTTTCGTTGCTTGATTTAGGTTTTTTTTTTTTTTTGAATTTGATAGGGATGGCGCTAAAGCGAGGGCTATCTGGAGTTAACCGGATTAGAGGAAGTGGTGGTGGATCTCGATCTGTGCTTGTGCTGCTCATCTTTTTCTGTGTTTTCGCACCTCTCGTCTTCTTTGTTGGCCGAGGAGTGTACATCGATTCCTCAACTGGTATGCATATATTGCTTATCTTTGTTTATACCAATTTGCTGATTCATGTAGAGAGATTCAGAATTTCTATAGTGATTGAGAACATTAGAATATATTCTTACCACTCTTTTGTTCAGCCTTTACTATCTCAATTTAAGTTACTATTTCCTTGGGAGTGACACTGGTGATCTTCGGACCATTGCTATTTTTCTAGACTATCAAAATTGGTCCTTTGTTTGTACAGATAGAGGAATATTTGCTTTGGTCTCAACAATTAGTGTTTTTCGATTTTATATATATATCATTATCTGCTATCTGTCCATCTGATGGAGCTTACTTTTGTTACTGCAGATTATTCAAATGCTTCTGTGAAGCAGGTAGGCTGGAACTTTCTGCTTCTATGTTTGTTTTAACAAAAGTAAGGATGGTGTTTAATCGGACTGTTTTTTTGGGGGCAGAATCTTGACTGGAGAGAACGTTTAGCAATGCAATCTGTTAGATCTCTTTTCTCGAAAGAAGTAAGTTTAAATCTGTGAAACTTTGCTTAGATTTATTCTCTTTGTCGGTTTTTTTCTGAGATTGGATCGAATCTTACTAAATTTGTTGTCTAGGTACTAGATGTTATCGCAACTAGCACAGCTGATTTGGGTCCTCTTAGCCTTGATTCTTTCAAGAAAAACAATTTGTCTGCATCATGGCGGGGAGGTGGAGTAGATACCTCCTTTAGACATTCTGAGGTGTGGTTTACCTGTTTCGTTTCTTTCCAAGCCTCTATTCTCAATTATTTTTTCTCATAGTTTTCATCTTTTGATGTACTTGAAGCAGAATCCAACAACTCCTGATTTCAAATCCAATATCCTGAATGAAAAACGTGACAGCATTTCAAAAGGTAGTGGCTTACTGGCTTTTATCTTTAAGTGGCATCTCTGAATTGACGTTTTCCATCTCTGATTCTTCTATATATCGCTGATGCAGATAGCAGCCATCAGAAAGTTGAGACACCTACAAAGATTCACAGAAGGGTAATTATTATTTATTTAAGTTCTGCATCAAATACTCTTTAGGGACTTCTTGTGTCTTTAGTATTTCATTATCAACATTTCTTTCTCCATCTTGACATTTCAGCAACTAAGAGAGAAAAGGCGTGAGATACGGGCAAATGAGTTGGTTCAGCACAATGATGACACAATTTTGAAACTCGAAAATGCTGCCATTGAACGCTCTAAATCTGTTGATTCTGCAGTCCTCGGTAAATACAGTATTTGGAGAAGAGAAAATGAGAATGACAACTCTGATTCAAATATACGCCTGATGCGGGATCAAGTAATAATGGCTAGAGTCTATAGTGGGATTGCAAAATTGAAAAACAAGAATGAATTGTTACAAGAACTCCAGGCCCGACTTAAGGACAGCCAACGGGTTTTGGGGGAATCAACATCTGATGCTGATCTTCCTCGGAGGTAAATTGCTCCTTTTGGTTTCTGCTACTTGCCTTCTTTTGACTGCTTGTGTACTTCTTAAAGTAACATTTTCTATAAATTACTTTTCATATAGTGCACATGAGAAACTCAGAGCCATGGGTCAAGCCTTGGCTAAAGCTAAGATGCAGTTATATGACTGCAAGTTGGTTACTGGAAAGCTGAGAGCAATGCTTCAGACTGCCGACGAACAAGTCAGGAGCTTAAAGAAGCAGAGTACTTTTCTGGCTCAGTTAGCAGCAAAAACAATTCCAAATCCTATCCATTGCCTATCGATGCGCTTGACCATCGATTACTATCTTCTGTCTCCAGAAAAAAGAAAATTCCCTCGAAGTGAAAACCTAGAAAACCCTAATCTTTATCATTATGCCCTCTTTTCTGACAATGTACTAGCTGCATCAGTGGTTGTTAACTCAACCATCATGAATGCCAAGGTAGACCATTAGCTCTTATCACTTGATTCGTCCTCATATCGGTATGTTTAATTTTAGATATGAATTGCAGAGCTGAAATTTAAAATGTTTTTGTTCCCTCTTTGTGCAGGATCCTTCTAAGCATGTTTTTCACCTTGTCACGGATAAACTGAATTTTGGAGCAATGAACATGTGGTTCCTCCTAAACCCACCCGGAAAGGCAACCATACATGTGGAAAACGTTGATGAGTTTAAGTGGCTCAATTCATCTTACTGCCCTGTCCTTCGTCAGCTTGAATCTGCAGCAATGAGAGAATACTATTTTAAAGCAGACCATCCAACTTCAGGCTCTTCAAATCTGAAATATAGAAACCCCAAGTATCTATCCATGTTGAATCACTTGAGATTCTACCTCCCTGAGGTTTATCCCAAGCTGAACAAAATCCTCTTCCTGGACGACGACATCATTGTTCAGAAAGACTTGACTCCACTCTGGGAAGTTAACTTGAACGGCAAAGTCAACGGTGCAGTCGAAACCTGTGGGGAAAGTTTCCACAGATTCGACAAGTATCTTAACTTTTCGAATCCTCACATTGCGAGGAACTTCAATCCAAATGCTTGTGGATGGGCTTATGGAATGAACATGTTCGACCTAAAGGAATGGAAGAAGAGAGACATCACTGGTATATACCATAAGTGGCAAAACATGGTAAGTAACTCTTTAACTCTTTGCAACAAATAGTCTCGTGATGGTGTATTGTTTATTTATTGTGGTTTGCTCATTATGGTTATTGTTGTTTAGAATGAGAACAGGACACTATGGAAGCTAGGGACATTACCACCAGGATTAATAACATTCTACGGATTAACACATCCCTTAAACAAGGCGTGGCACGTGCTTGGACTTGGATATAATCCGAGTATTGATAGGAAAGACATTGAGAATGCAGCAGTGGTTCACTATAACGGGAACATGAAACCATGGTTGGAGTTGGCAATGTCCAAGTATCGGCCGTATTGGACCAAGTACATCAAGTTTGATCACCCATATCTTCGTCGATGCAACCTTCATGAATAAATCAAATCTTTGTTAGATGATTTGAGGTAATTACTTCTAATGCTCTGTTGTTCCCATCTCATTCCTCTTTATTCCACAGATTGTTAATTGTTTATTCATATCTTTGTTTAGTCATTCTTTTCTCTTTCTTCTTCTTCTTCTTCTTTCGGGCTAAAAACACTTGTGTTATTTTTTGAGTTTCCCTTATTCTAATGATAATGTGTTTATGGAGATTCTCTTGAAGGTCTTGTGAAAAGAAAGAAAACATTCTGTCTCTCTATTTACTATATAAGTTAGAATAATAATCCAATTTTTTGTTGATGTGTCAATAGTTTAGACTAATAATAGATAACTATCTCTAATAATTAGATTGGTTACACTACTACTTACACGTTTTAGATTTTATTTATTTTTGAATATCCAATTTTCTTATCTCTTCTTTTCCATTGTTAATTGTTATCATTATTATGATCACATTCTTTTCTTGTAGTGGATCAAATCAAGAAGCATCAACTTCAATTGTATACATTTTGTTGTCAAATATTGTATATCTTTATTTTCTAATTTTAATCATTTAAAATCAATATTGTTTTCTTGAAAAAACAAATCTTTTGTGATTCTCTTGTTTTGTAAGCAACTGTTTTATGGAAATATGACATATAGTAATAAAATTGAATCATAAATTAGACAGTATTTAGACTATTAGTTGAAAAATTTTAACAATATTAATTACAAAAAAAAAATCCCATCTATGATAGAAACTCGAAAGATAATAATAAAACCCAAATTGAGTGAATATAGAAGATGGGCTTTATATCGGACCGACGCTTATTGGTTACTAATACAAATCGCCCCTCCGTAAAGTCTGAAGACGAAACGAAGAACAAACACTGAAACAAAAATCTTAGCAGAGAACAAAAATCCCAAAGCCTAAAAACCCTAATCCCAGACGAATCAATGGAGCGAGAAGACGATGCGAGTGGACCGATGATGGAGATGTGCACTAACGGCGTCGAAGAGACGTCTAATCGAAGACCTATCATAAGTGGCGAACCGCTCGACATCGAGGCTTACGCGGCTCTCTACAAAGGTCGCACGAAGATCATGCGGCTTCTCTTCATCGCTAACCACTGCGGAGGAAACCACGCGATTCAGCTTGAAGCGTTGAGGATGGCTTACGATGAGATCAAAAAGGGTGAGAACACGCAGTTGTTTAGAGAAGTGGTCAATAAGATTGGCGGCAGGCTTGGTGATAAGTATGGGATGGATTCTTCTTGGTGTGAAGCCGTCGATCGTCGTGCTGAACAGAAGAAAGGAAAGCTGGAGAATGAGCTCAGTTCTTATCGGGTAATTAGGTTTTTCTTTCCCCAATCGAGATTTTTGACCTAATTTTCTTTATCTGTGTTCCTTGCTTATTGACTCTCTACTGCTTGATTGCTGTTTCTCTAGTAGGTTCTTAGAGAATCAAGTATGTAGTGCTGTTTGTGTTGCTTACTATGCGTATAGCTCGTTACACTGGCTTGCTTGATTCTGTAATTGCATTAGTGTTGATTTATCTCCTTGATATGAGTATACAGCCAAATCTTCTCAATTGACTCTTTACTACTGATTTTGATGATACTGTTTCTCAATTAATTGCTTAAAGAGTGAAGTATGTGGTGCTGTTTATTTGTTGCTCAGTGTGTGCATAGCTCTTAAATCTTATCAAAGAAAGCATCAGAACTGACTCTCATGGCTATCTGTAGAATGTTAACTCTCTAGTACTGATTTCGATGATACTGTTTATCAATTAATTGCTTAGAAAATGAAGTATGTGGTGTTGTTTATGTGTTTTGCTCAGCATGTGCATTATGCATAGCTCTTTTCGTGTTAATAGCTTGCTCTATTCTTTAATTGTATTAATGTTGATTCATCTTCTTGATATGTGTATACAGACAAATCTGATCAAGGAAAGCATCAGAATGGGTTACAATGACTTTGGAGATTTCTACTATGCGTGTGGTATGCTCGGAGATGCTTTCAAGAACTATATCCGAACACGCGACTACTGCACTACAACGAAGCATATCATTCACATGTGTATGAATGCGATTCTTGTCAGCATTGAAATGGGTCAGTTTACTCATGTTACAAGCTACGTGAACAAGGCAGAGCAGAATCCTGATCCTCTTGACCCTATTGTTATTGCAAAATTGCGATGTGCATCTGGATTGGCTCATTTGGAGCTGAAGAAGTACAAGCTAGCTGCTCGTAAGGTCTGTTGTTTTATCATATTTGCTCATGTGTTTATGGATCCTATTCATATCCTAACTGAAATCTAATCATTGAACTTGATTATTGTCTTGTGCAGTTCCTTGATGTTAATCCAGAACTTGGAAATTCCTATAATGAGGTCATTGCTCCTCAAGATATTGCCACCTATGGTGGACTCTGTGCCCTGGCAAGCTTTGATCGATCAGAATTGAAGGCATGTATCCTATTTAGCTTTTCTTTTACTCTGCCAGTTTGTTGTTCCAATATTTGATCTATAACTTAGTCTAATTTGGCAGCAAAAAGTCATTGACAATATCAACTTCCGGAATTTCTTGGAGCTAGTGCCTGAAGTGAGGGAACTTATCAACGATTTCTATTCAAGGTAACATGTTTTTAACAAGACTCACATCTATTTCCTTGTGTACAACCAATTTACAAACCTCGGACCACGGATTATAAGAGTGAATACCCACTAAGACTAGATTTATCAAATTAAATACCCCATAGTTATAAAGTCCTTTGAATCCATTATTTATTCTAATCACTGACTCTTATAAACTGAAGTAGCTGTTGTGACGTTAGACTCTAATCCTGTATTGTTTATGAAGGCTTCCCGTGTTACCCTCCAATTTCTTATTTATATTAACAATGCATAGGACATCTAAAATCAACCTTTTTAGACTGTATTCTCGTTGAATCTAATTTTTAAGTTTGCTTGTTGCAGCCGTTATGCTTCCTGCCTGGAATATCTAGCAAGTCTCAAAGCGAATTTGCTGCTGGACATCCATCTTCATGATCACGTTGACACACTCTATGATCAGATAAGGAAGAAGGCACTGATCCAGTACACACTGCCATTTGTGTCTGTTGATTTGAGCAGGATGGCTGATGCATTCAAGACTAGCGTCTCTGGTCTAGAGAAAGAACTTGAAGCCTTGATCACAGACAACCAGATTCAGGTCCGTACTGTTTCCAGAAGGAACTTAATGTTTTATATTAGTGTCATTATAAAACCGTAAAGAGTGAAAATCTTTGTTCCATCCCTGACAGGCGCGGATTGATTCACACAACAAAATCCTCTACGCAAGACACGCGGATCAGAGGAATGCAACTTTCCAAAAGGTACTTCAGATGGGAAACGAATTCGATAGAGATGTCAGGGCGATGCTGTTAAGAGCCAACCTCCTGAAACATGAGTATCATGCCAGATCGTCAAGAAAACTTTGAAATTGATGACATCAACTTTTGCTAAACTGAGAGGTAATGGCCTATTCCAAGATCATAAGATCTCTGTTAAAATTTTATTTGGTTTAGTTACTGGTTAGATTTATGTTTGACCTTCTCTGTTCTCTAGTTCTCGCTTTGTTTTGTCAACTTTTAGTTTAAGATTCTTTCAAGTATCTTTGGACTTTGAATCAAATCATGAGTGTGAATCTATATAAACGTATGAATCACATTGAAAGTGAATTGGTCAAAGAGTACAGACATAAGTACACACACTTGGTATCATGGGCCGATATGATTTATGATCTTTGTATGCATGTGGGTGGTGGGATCAAAATCTCATCTCCCAACTAATATCCATTTCGTTTTGTCAACTGAACGTCGTATATTATATGATAAGTTTGTGCACAGATGTCACGCTATAGTTCAAGACTTTTTTTTTGTTTTTCTTATCTACATAAAATAATAATCAAAACGGTTAGGTCTATTTTTTATTAGTAGAATCTCGAAAATTGCAAAACCAAGATTTGATGTCGGCAAACGCATCATGTAGGCTAAGTGTGAACTTTTGATTTTCTTGTGTCAAAGAACTTTTGATATTAATCACTCGATAGCTACGTTTCATTATTATTAGTTTCTTCAATAGAATTTTTATCACTGAATGGGATAGTTCACACATTATCTGATACTATTATTTATTTATTATTGTAATTGTAATTAGTTCTTCTCTATACATTTCTTTTCAGTTGTTCTCTTTGTAGTTTGAGGGTTCTTATATATTTTTCTTTCTATATGTTTGTGTTTGCCAGGATTTTCAAGGGTGTTTTTTCAAGATTCGAACAAAACGAGAAATTGGGCAAGATTACTTTTTTGTAAGAACCAATAGTGTTTCTATGAGTCGGTGACATTTTGAGTAAGTAAAGGTTTTATTCAAAGATGGACAGTCCATTATTAATCAACTTTTGAACGATATTGCCTTTTAAACGAGTCTTAGGTACCATCGCAATAACTCCATGCTTACTTAAAACTCACAAACCATGAAGTTAAGAATCCGCCAAATTTGGAAGATAGGCCAACTCCATTTATTTGGGGTTGCATTGGTGAAAGTATATTAAATGCAAAGTTTATTGATATTTCATGTGGTTGTATACATAAATCGAAACTCATCATTTTGTAATACTGATCTTTCATCAGTTACTTTCGAAGACTAATAAACCATATTTCAAAACTGTGATTTAACACAAATAGACTTGTTCTTTTTTTTTTTTTGTCGTCACGTGTTCTAATAAGCTCATATAAACAACTTCTTTGGTCGATATTGAAAAGGAAAAAACATCAACTCTTTAGATGCGAAAACAGTATTTCATCGTGATGAAACATGTCCGAAATATGTGAATTAACAAATAAAACGCTCAACAAACGAAGAAGAATCTCACACCCATAATTAAAATTAGATTTTACAAAAGAAAGTAGCACAAGAAGAAAGGGAGGGGGGGTAAAAAAGTAATTTGAAAATAAACTGAGCCTTGATTCACCACTTGAAGTGGACTTTTATAGCAAAAAGAGTTTAGTAACGTCAAAGAGTCAAACCCAACTTTTCAAAGGCTGTGTAAGGCTTTCCATCACTCCACATCTCCTCCTCTTTTATCCCTTTCTTTTCTCTCTCTTATTTTTCATTTAAAGTAAATTAATTTTACGAAAGAAATCAGAAAACCTTTTATATCTTCCTTTTTCGTCGTTTCCGTCGTCTTTTTCCTTTTTCATTTACTGTTCTCTCTGTCTCTCTCTCTCTCCAGCTTAGGGCTTCTCTCTCATCCATGGCGGATTTCTTCTAGCTCTTTCATATTTCCTCTTTTATCAAATTCTCATGAATTTCAACGGTTTTCTCGACGACGGTTCCCCCGGAGCCTCAAAGCTACTCTCCGATATACCGTACAACAACAACCACTTCTCTTTCTCCGCCGTAGACACCACCATGCTCGGAACCACCGCCATTGCTCCTCCTCATTCTCGTCCTTTCTCTTCTTCAGGCCTCTCCCTCGGACTCGTAAGCTCTCTAAATCTTCGCTTTCTTCCTCTTCTTATAGCTGCTTACAATGATCTCTCTAAATTTGGCAGCAAACAAATGGAGAAATGAGTAGAAACGGAGAGATTTTCGAGTCGAACGTAACTCGTAAAAGTAGTAGAGGAGAAGATGTAGAAAGCAGATCTGAAAGTGATAACGCTGAAGCTGTCTCCGGTGACGATTTAGATACTTCCGATAGACCTTTAAAGAAGAAGAAACGTTACCATCGCCACACTCCTAAACAAATTCAAGACCTCGAATCGTAAAATCACTAATACACCCCAATCTCCTTTTTACACTTCCACGAGATTGTTTTGATTTCAATCCTCGATTTTTAGGGTTTTTAAAGAGTGTGCACATCCAGACGAGAAGCAACGTCTTGATCTCAGCCGTCGACTTAATTTAGATCCTCGTCAAGTCAAATTCTGGTTCCAGAATCGCCGTACTCAGATGAAGGTTTCTTCTTCGTTTTCTGGAATTTTTTTTTGTTTTCTTTGTTTTGATTTTTGATTTGTTTTTCCAGACTCAAATCGAACGACATGAGAATGCTTTGTTGAGGCAAGAGAACGATAAGCTTCGAGCTGAGAATATGTCTGTCCGCGAAGCTATGAGAAACCCTATGTGTGGTAACTGCGGCGGACCTGCTGTTATCGGCGAGATCTCCATGGAAGAACAACATCTTCGAATCGAAAACTCTCGTCTCAAAGATGAGTTAGACCGAGTCTGTGCCTTAACCGGTAAATTCCTTGGCCGGTCCAACGGTTCTCATCATATACCGGACTCAGCACTTGTTCTCGGCGTTGGTGTTGGCTGTAATGTTGGTGGTGGTTTCACTCTCTCTTCTCCGGTGTTGCCTCAAGCTTCTCCAAGATTTGAGATTTCTAATGCAACCGGTTCTGGTTTGGTGGCTACGGTTAACCGTCAACAACCGGTTAGTGTTAGTGATTTTGATCAGAGATCGAGGTATTTGGATTTAGCTCTTGCGTCTATGGATGAGCTTGTGAAGATGGCTCAGACACGTGACCCGCTCTGGGTTAGGAGCTCGGATACTGGTTTTGAAATGCTGAACCAGGAAGAGTACGACACAAGTTTCACTCGATGTGTTGGACCAAAACCAGATGGGTATGTCTCAGAAGCTTCTAAAGAAGCTGGAACTGTTATCATCAATAGCTTAGCCCTCGTTGAAACCTTGATGGACTCGGTTAGTAACTAATACACATAATTGTAGTAATTAATGTGCTTAATTCAAACAAAGTTAAAGTACTAATCTTTTGATATAACGATTGTTTTTTAATAGGAACGGTGGGCGGAAATGTTTCCAAGTATGATCTCAAGAACTTCAACCACAGAGATTATCTCTAGTGGCATGGGAGGGTCACGAAATGGTGCACTTCACCTGGTATATAATTATGCGTTACCATTTACACACACAATAACTCTTAATTGACCTAATGGGTCTTTTAATGGTTTGTTTTTTGGTTAATTAGATGCACGCAGAGCTTCAATTGCTGTCTCCACTCGTGCCTGTTCGACAAGTGTCGTTCTTGCGGTTCTGTAAACAGCACGCAGAAGGTGTTTGGGCAGTGGTCGATGTCTCAATTGATTCCATTAGAGAAGGATCTTCTTCCAGCTGTAGAAGGTTACCGTCTGGTTGCCTCGTACAAGACATGGCCAATGGCTGCTCTAAGGTAAAATGATACTTTCTGGGTGATGATTATTAAAACTTGCGGAGTAAAAATAGATAAAATTTAACTTTTCACCTTTAGGAAATACCCTAGTGTTAGTTGGTTCACACTTCTCTAGGAACCACAGGCAAGCTCTTTGTTTTTATCCGAGAAATTATGATAAATGTTTCTTATATATGCATTGGGTTTATAACTTTAAATCAACTCATATATTATGCAGGTAAAAGAAAGAAAAAACGCGTTATTTTATTGATCAGAAGCATCTAAATATTTCCGAGTTTTGTGCCCTTGGATCGTGCATTAATTTTTAACATTACACGTTCATAGAGTTTTTCTCTTTTCTTACCATTAATTATTTGTTAAAGCTCACATTAGACCTAAAAAAACGATTGTGATAAATCTAACGCAAAATGGTTTAAGCAATTTGCAGGTCACATGGATCGAGCACACGGAGTATGACGAAAACCGCATCCACCGTTTATACCGCCCATTACTCAGCTGTGGACTAGCGTTTGGTGCGCATCGATGGATGGCTGCGTTACAACGTCAATGCGAATGCCTCACCATTCTTATGTCCTCCACTGTTTCCCCTTCCCCTAACCCAACCCGTAAGCTCCCTTAAACACTGCGTTTTGATTTAATTGTAGACTATTCTATTTTATTTTATTTTTGGTAGGAATAAATAATATGAACTGTTGACTGAGTCACAAAGGAAAATATGATATCTGTTGATTCTGTCAAACATTAAATAAATCAAAGTACATAGTTTCGTTTTGGCTTTCAACTGATTAATTTTATATAATCTTTTTTGTTATATTAATGGGCACAGCTATAAATTGCAATGGGAGAAAAAGCATGCTAAAGCTAGCGAAGAGGATGACTGATAATTTCTGTGGAGGCGTTTGTGCTTCTTCGTTACAAAAATGGAGCAAACTTAACGTTGGTAACGTCGACGAGGACGTTCGGATAATGACTAGGAAGAGCGTAAACAATCCCGGCGAACCGCCTGGGATCATTCTCAACGCTGCGACGTCGGTTTGGATGCCGATTTCTCCACGGAGGTTGTTTGACTTCCTTGGAAATGAACGGCTGAGATCGGAATGGGATATCTTATCCAACGGTGGGCCTATGAAAGAGATGGCCCATATAGCTAAAGGCCATGACCATTCCAACTCTGTCTCCCTCCTCCGTGCCAGTGTAAGCATTTATATTTATTACACTTTCTTTATGCATGCGTAAGCTAAGCTAATTTCCAATTTTCTGTTTAGTTTGTTATAACTTTAGGTTTTGATGAATTTAGAATTTTAATAAAATATATTTATTAACCTAAAATAAGTTTTGAAAAGTTATAGTCGGTTTAGTTTAGTTTTTTGATATTCTGATTTTTTGGGTTGTTTTTAGATAAATTGAACCGGCCTCTGTGGACACTGAATATTTTATCTATAAACAGTGTATGAAAGGACTTTGTTGTATTGTGTGACCCCAGGATGGTGTTGTCATATGAATCTTGTCGCGTGTGATTGGAAAGTGACAAATCTAGAATTTGGAAGTATTGGGTGAAAAAAGTCAAAATATTAATAAGACATTTTTGACCTTTTTCTTTCCTTTTTCGCTCTGAGGTTTTGAAAATTCCTCTATTTTTCATTTTCTTTCTTTGCATTATTGGTGTCTTTTCTCCGTTGTACCCTTGAGCTTTTCTGGCTTGTGACGGTGACACTGTTGAAAAGTCACCTTTAATTTATTGTTTCTCTTTTGGGCTTTATAATTTCCTCTTTTACCAGATTTTCCCCTTTTTTTTTTTCATGCAGGCGATAAATGCGAATCAGAGTAGTATGCTGATATTACAAGAGACAAGCATAGACGCTGCAGGAGCGCTTGTGGTCTACGCGCCTGTGGATATCCCAGCAATGCAAGCTGTGATGAACGGTGGAGATTCTGCTTACGTGGCACTACTTCCCTCAGGATTCGCCATTCTCCCGAACGCTCAGGCGGGTACGCAACGCTGCGCAGCCGAGGAACGTAACGCTAACGGTAACGGTAACGGTGGGTGCATGGAGGAAGGAGGGTCGTTATTAACGGTGGCGTTTCAGATTCTGGTGAATAGTTTGCCTACGGCTAAGCTCACGGTGGAATCTGTAGAGACGGTTAATAATCTGATATCGTGCACCGTTCAGAAGATCAAGGCGGCTCTTCATTGTGATAGCACCTGATCATTGAGATCGGACGGTGGAGATTGAGTCAAGAACGAACCTCATTTTGTGATGAATCCGTTTTTGTGATGGTTCGGGTATTGACTCGATGAGGTGTGAAAAAACAAACATTAAACAAAAATGTTGTAATTTGGATTGGTTGGTTTTTACTTCTACCATTGATCAATCTCAAATTGGTTATTAACAAAAACGTATCCGCTAATACGTTTGTACCAATCCGGGTTTACTTTTGTGGTAGACTGGTAGTTCATAATGTGAAAGGAAGGTTTGGACCATTTCCTTTTATTAAATGTTGTTGTTCCAAGTTAAAAAGTACTTTTTGCAATATGGAAGGAAGAAGAATGAAACACGTGAGTGCATGGATTTATTTGCAATCCCTTACAGTTTATCCATTCAAAGTAGACAACAACAAAAAAGAGAGTTAAATTTATGAGTTGGTGTAGAGATTGTTTGATAATATGGCTAGCCTAGATCCAAAGGTCACATCAGAATAGTACTATATTATGGGCTACCAAATAAGCCTTTTCAAAATCTATTGGGCCAACCATTAACTAATTTACTGGGCTAGATTTTAAGTCCATTTACTAACACGTTATCTTAGTATTATTCTTCCGGCTAATAAATAAATATTAAACGGCCGAAAGAAAAGAGTCAAAAGGAAGAGTCAAACTTGCGAATAATCCGCGCGCTTAAATATTCGATCACATACCGTTGAATCAACAAACGGTCACGATCGTCATTTGATATCTTTTATACAGATTTTTATTACCTTTCTTTGAACAGAAATTAAGGGTATGAGAAGGATTTGTGTAATTGACTAATGATGGGAGAGAAATGCCATCTGTTTTTTTGTTTAAGCTATATCCGCTCCGCCGCAGAGATATATATAGATATTTCTATAAATATGTTTTCGTATATATACAAAGAGTTTAGATTAAGGAAGAAAAATCCTTAGATCTTTATTTTCTTGTTGTCTTTGTTTCGTTTTCTGGCAGAAGAGGGAAGAAGGAGAGAGAAATTGGCAGCAAAGCGATTCTCTCTCTCTTTCTCTCTTTCTCTTCTCGTGAAAGCTGTAATCTTTTGGTTTTCTTGAAACCCGTTTTTTTTTTTTTAGTTAATTCCTCTGTTTTCTTGGAAAGTTTTCTGCTTTGAAAAAAAAACGATGAATGTGGTGCGGAGATTAACGAGTATCGCCTCTGGACGCAATTTCGTTTCTTCTGATAACGTAAATAATTTCGAAACTTTTGAGCTTTTTAATTTAATTTCTTGATTTGGGTTTGTTTTAAAGCTCGAGTCCTTTGTTTTTTTTTTTTGTAACTTGCCTAGGTAGGAGAAACTGAGAAGCCGAGATCAAAGCCTAATCAGAATCGTGAAGAAACAGAGTCTACGGAAACTACGTCGTACGAGAAAGATTCTGTCTCTACCTCAGAGAACTCTGATCATTTACCCCGTGAGATGGGAACTGGAGATGATAAGGTTTCTAATTTTGAGATTTTTTCAGCATTTGAGTTTCTTTGAGCTAATGATGAAATGGTGTTCAATGGATTTTTGATAGGATATGGATTGTGGAATCATCAAGGGAAATGGAACAGAATCTGGACGGATTATTACCACAAATAAGAAGAGTTTGAATGATCAAAAAGACAAGGTCATTTTCAGATTTTGCTTGTGTTCGTTCTTGTAATGACACATTTCTAAAACTCATTTTTTTTGTTTGTTCTTATGTAGACAATCTCGTACAGAGCTGAACATGTAATTGGCACTGGCTCATTCGGTGTTGTCTTTCAGGTAAATAAAAATTCAGACTCGAGAGATTATTAATTGTTTTGAAAATGTGATTGATGTTGATTCCGGTTTTGATGTAGGCTAAGTGCTTAGAGACAGAAGAAAAAGTAGCAATCAAGAAAGTGTTACAGGACAAGAGATACAAAAACAGAGAACTTCAGATCATGCGAATGCTTGATCATCCTAATGTCGTTGAGCTCAAGCATTCTTTCTTTTCCACGACTGAGAAAGACGAGCTTTATCTTAACCTTGTTCTCGAGTATGTTCCCGAGACTATTTACCGCGCTTCCAGATCTTACACCAAGATGAATCATCATATGCCTATGATTTATATTCAGCTCTATACCTATCAGGTAAAGGGACCTGACTCTTTGTGCATTCAGCTCTGTTTTTTTAACTTTTGGGGTTCTGAGAAACGTTTTTTTTTATGGAAAACAGATTTGCCGTGCTATGAATTATCTGCATCAAGTGGTTGGAGTGTGTCACCGTGACATTAAGCCGCAGAATCTATTGGTAAGCATTTTAAGAGTAGTTCTTGTGAGGGTAGTAGTACTTTTCTTACTCAATTTGAGAAATGTCAATGCGTTTGGCAGGTCAATAATGTTACGCATGAGGTAAAGATATGCGATTTTGGGAGCGCGAAAATGCTGGTAAGTTTCATAGCTCTAGATGGGTTTTAGATTTCACTGTCTGTTATATAAAACATGTGTAGTGATGTCTTCTTGGTTTCAGATTCCAGGAGAACCAAATATATCTTACATATGCTCAAGGTATTACAGAGCTCCTGAACTGATATTTGGAGCAACCGAATACACAAGCGCAATCGATATGTGGTCTGTCGGTTGTGTCATGGCTGAGCTTTTTCTTGGACATGTAAGAAGAAAAGTCTTTGGTACTGAGTTTTTTTTAACTTTTGATTTGAGACATTTGATTTGAACCTCTCTCTTGCTTTTAATGTCTACAGCCTCTATTCCCTGGAGAAACAAGTGTTGATCAACTGGTGGAGATCATTAAGGTAACACAACAGATTGGTTTCTTTCTTCTATCTGCTTTTTTTTGGGGGGTCTCAGATTCTCAGAGTTGTTGTATTCTGCAATTTTCTTTGTATAATCAGATTTTAGGGACACCAGCAAGAGAAGAGATAAAGAACATGAATCCTCGTTACAATGATTTTAAGTTCCCTCAGATCAAAGCTCAGCCATGGCACAAGGTATATGCATACAAATTAACTAAGAGATTTACAGATTTTGATAATATGTTGCTTACAATGTTCACACTCAAAATCTTCCGGTTATTATTCAGATTTTCCGGAGACAGGTATCTCCAGAAGCAATGGATCTTGCCTCTAGATTGCTCCAGTATTCACCAAACCTGAGATGCACAGCTGTAAGAGAAAATCCCAGTTGATTTCTGACATTATTAAAATGGCTGCTTCAACTCCTTTAATTTGACTCTGCTTTCAGCTTGAAGCATGTGCACACCCATTCTTCGATGATCTGAGAGACCCGAGAGCATCCTTGCCTAATGGAAGAGCACTTCCTCCATTGTTTGATTTCACAGCTCAAGGTTTTGGCAACAACACTTTGCTTCTCTTATACGTTATAACTTACCTCCCACCCGGAAAATGCTTATCTTTCTCTTCTTGCAGAACTCGCTGGTGCATCTGTTGAACTGCGTCATCGCTTAATACCCGAGCATGCAAGGAAATGACCATTTGGGTTAATGGCTGCTTCTCTACGCAGATGTTGATATATAAAGCTTTTTTGATTTGGAGAGTTTCTTGTTGACACGTATAGCATTGTTCTGGTTATGAACCCTCACTGACCTCTGCAACCACATGGACTAGCAGTTTGAAAGTGTATAATTGTAAGTTTGTAACTTTGTAGCTTCCACTGTTGCAGACAGAAATGCAGAATTTTCCGAGTTTTTCTTCTAATGCAAATGTTACCAATAGTCTCCGCAAGAACAGTTTCCATCTCTAAAGTGATGAAAGCAGTTAGAATCTCTTAAGATGATATGCCGAAGATATACTCTCGAGATGTACTTCATTGCACTGTGGCAATCCCCACAGACGCGGAGGTTCTTGATTATCCGGATTGGAGCTCCAGATGGTACAACAAGTAGACCAAACGCTACAGCTAATTTCTCACTATGGTAAGCCAAACCTAGCTCCTTGCCTTCCTTATCCAAGTCATGGAGGGCAAAACTCATATCCGCTAAATAACCAGCCTCTTTAATCAAAAGCATCATTTCATCAACCTTGGAATATATCTCAACCATTCTCGGGTGTCTTCTATCTTCAGACATAAAGCTATGAACTTTACCTTTCTCTTCAACCCAACTGCAACCAGGCTCTTTGTTTATATTACGAGATTTCATCAATCTACGAACATTTGCAGCTTCGTCTTGTCTTCCCGCTGCAGAATACATGTTTGATAACAGAACATAAGGAACAGCATTGTTTGGTTCCAATTTCATGAGAGTTTTCGCTGCTCTTTCCCCGTTTTCTATATTCCCATGCTTCCTACTTGCAGCCAAAATCGCTTTCCATACAGTTGCATCTGGTTCAACCTCCATTTGATGCAGCAATTCCTCTGCTTTTACGAAATCACCAGATCTACCAAAGAGATCAATCATACAGGCATAGTGTTCAGGTCCTGGTGTGATTCCGTAAACTGTTCTCATCGAATCAAAGTATCGTTGAGCTTCTTCTATGAGACCTGCATGACTGCAAGCAAATAGTAACCCGATAAAGGTAATGTAATCCGGTGTTATACCACTGCCTATCATCAAATCGTATGACTGTAGTGAGTCCTTGGCTTTGCCGTTTTTCGCGTAACCCACAATAATACAAGTCCATGTTATTAAATCCCTGATTTCCATAGAGTTGAATATAACATTCGCGTCTTCTAAGCTTCCACATTTTGTGTACATTGTCACAAGAGAGTTGTTTACTGACAAAGATGAAGGAAAACCAGATTTAATATAATTCCCATGTACCTGTTGCCCAAACTCCAAAAGAGTTAACTCGGCTGAGGCGCTTAGTACACTCGCTGTTACAATCTGATCAGGATAAATGCCTCCAACTCTCATGTTACAGAACAACTTTAGTGCTTCTTCATAAAATCCGTTATGTGTATTTCCTGTGACAAGAGCTGTCCAAGATATCACATCTTTCTCAATCATCCCTTCAAACACTTTCAACGCTGAATCCATGATCCCTCTTTTAGCATACATATCAACAAGGGCGTTATTCACAAGCTTGTAAGTCGCATACCCGGTTTCACAATCAGACAATGTGCAGAAGAAGCTATCTTCATTTCTGTCCTAGACGAAGCAAAACAATTTAAGATGGATGGGATCGTGAAATCATCTATTTTCATATCTCGCTCATGCATTCTTCCAAACATAGACAGAGCTTCTTCTATAAGACCTTGTCTAACACACCCTACAATCATCGAGTTCCAAGATACCACATCATCAACCTCCATACCTTCTAACAAAGCTCTTGCGGATTCCAAGTCTCTGCATTTAGCATACATATCAATCAATGCACTCTGAACATAGATATTGGTCTTGAAACCACTCTTAACTATGCAGCCATGTACCTGGACTCCTACCCTGCAAGCAGAAACCGAGGCACAAGCAGTTAAAACACTAGGAAATGTATATTGATTCGATTGATTTCCGTCTCTTCTCAAATCCCTAAAACACTCGATTGCCTTGAAAGCAAAACCATTTTGAGAGTAACCAGTGAGCATTGAAGTCCATGTAACATTATTTTTCTCACCTGCCATTGTATCAAAGAGGTATTCAGCTTCAGAGATACGTTTGCATTGTGCATACATAGCAAGAAGGCCATTAACGACATTGACATCCAAATCAAACCCGGTTTTTATTGTATGCCCATGAATCTGTTCACCTCTCAGAAGCAAAAGAAGCGAAGTACACATCCTAAGAACACTACCCAAAGTGTACTCGTTAGGTTTGATTCCATCAGACTGCATTTCCCAAAACAGATTAAAAGCTTCAACTTTACTTCCAGACTTGCAATACCCAGAAATAAGAGCATTCCAGGAGATTGTATTCTTCACTGGGTTGCTACGAAAAAGCTGTTCAGCATCAGCAAGTCGCCTTGAATTCGAGTAAGCAACGATCATAGTGTTCCAGGTAAACTCATCCCTCTCAGGCATTTTATCGAACATTTGGCGGGCTTCATCGACCCGACCAGATTTAGACAAATCTCCCAACAACAGATTCGAGTGAAGCTTTGTTCGATCAGCATGGCTGTGAATACAACAATGACCAAGCGGTTTCAAAGGAAGACGCCACTTTCTGTACTTCAATCTGTACATTACGACAGAGCCAAATTATATTCTCTCTCTTTCACAAGACAACAAAATAACACTTGTTAAAAATGTAACTAAAAACTGCTAACAAGACAATATATTAAAAATGATAAACATCTATATATATAAGAATATATGTTATTTAATTTTAATTATTTTTATATAAATTATTAGGAATTTTCAATACGTTTGAAGACTACAAAGTTGTTGTATTAGATTTTATCATACACATTTATAGTTTTGTAAATTTGGATTATTGAAAAACTATCAATATTTTTTATTCTTGTTTATGTTTAATTGATAAAAGATTATTCAAATTTATTTAACTTGTAATTTTTTTTCTATATTTAGGGCTAAATCAGTATTCAAGTAAGTTCGAATGCAATTTTTTACATTCACGTAAGATTAGACAACATGGCAAGAAACTTATACTATTTTCTTTTATGATTTATTATTGCTGATAGTTTATATAGTAGATAAGAACAAAAAGAAAACAAAAAATAGAGTCAAGTTCTGCAAATATAATTGCAGAGGCAGATAAATCTTCTGTCAACGGTTCTGTAACACTGGCCAGTTCCTTGCAACTTCTTGTCACACAGATCGGTGCATGTGGCTCCATCACAATTGTTATCTAATAGAATCTGATGACATATATGTTGTCCTTGTGTTTCTTTCGCCATCATCCCTAAAAAAATATTTTAAAAACATCAAATCTCGATATACAAAGCATAAAAACGCGAAAATTGATTTGATTAATTTCGTATTGATCTTATAATATACTTAGAGAATGGAAAATGTAAAACAAACCTAAGAAGAAGACAAGAAAGATGGCAACAATGGTGAGTTTAGTCATCTTTTGATGATTAATGGGATTTGGTTGGAAAAAGAAAAGGATTTGAGTCTTTAACAACAACAACAAAAGACTTGAAGTTCTTTTAATATCTTGAACCAAATGAGGGTATTTGTAATATATGTGCATGTAAATATCATCTCTATATATATATGTGTGAAGTTGTTGTGTGTATACGTATTTAATGTACAATCAATTCTATGTTTGAATAGCAAAAAAAAGTTGGACGCATTTGATTTGGAAAGCAATCCAATATGTTAATTAGGAAGAAAATAAAAATAAAATAAACAATATATCCATAAGATTTAGAAAGGAATCAGTACAAATATAAAATAGAATTGAATTCAAATTAAGAGATCGGATGTATGATATCGCTATGTGGTTAAGACTTAAGAGAAACTTTTGCTAGAATAAGTCAATAAGATATGATAGAATAACCTTTTTTTTGTTAGGTCCAGATATGATATAATAACTAATTAAAACTCTTTCTTGTAACTCGATTTTTCGCTTTTGGCCCAACACCAAAACCATTGGATTGATTTAGTTAATGAATATGTATAAATATTTTTAATATAATAAAATGAATAACTAAGATTCTTTCCAAAATACAAATGTTTTAATTTTGTAAGATTATTATTTTATTATTTATTTACACATGTCAAAAATTAAATTATGCTCAATTAGTAGCTTATCGTTCATGTCAAATAATAAAAAAATGAAATCAGAATTTATATAAAATATAAGACATAGTGTAAGTTTAATATTATTTCATTTCATTATTATAAGTTTTACTATCATTATTTTTATTACTGTTATTAGTTTATAAATTACAATTTGTTTCCGTAAAAGTTCAAGTTTTGCAAGGAAATGTGCAGAGGCAGCTTTTGATTTGAAAGTTTGGGAAGCACGATCCATTTCCTTTCCATTTTTGCTTACACAGAGTGGCACAAGTGCCAGCATCACAGTTTTGAGCTCTCATTAAAAGATCACGACACATTTCTTGTCCTTGTGTCTCTTTCGTTACCATCCCTAACAAAAAATTAAAACATAATCTTTAAACGAATCTTTATAAAACAAAAAAAATAATAGAAATGTTTTAATATGTTTAGAGAATGGTAAATGTAACGCAAACCTAGAACGAGGACGATCATCAAAATAGCAAGAATGGTGGATTTAGCCATTTTTGATGAAAATTTCAGAGTAATACACCAGAAATGTTAATGGTAGTATACATGTATATATCATATATATATATACAGTATATATGAAATTAGATATATACATATAGTATATACATTAACTAACAAAAGTAGACAAAGTCTATAAATAAATAGTTATATAAATGATGGGAATGGAAACAAAATCATAAAAAATATATGAATAGGAAGGGGATACTCACAAAATCAATTAAAATGAAAACAAATAAGAACTCAATAAGCTTTATATATAACTAATAATTAAAAAATATTTGTAATACATTGAATGGTCCAAGATGCATTCTTGTAGATTTTTATCTATAAAATACATGTGATAAAATCTAATTGATTATTTTACAATTCTGAAATTCATGTACAATTAGTTGGATTAGTCTTAAAAAAAACTAAGTTGTAAGGATCCATCAAATATTGCCCTTGTAACTTCATACACGTAGTTGGAGTTTAAACTCTCAAAATTTAGATATCGAACTGAGCCGCGTATATTCCGGTTAGTTATTAGCCAATCTCAAATGTGTTATATGTAAAATTTGTCATGTTTATATATATATATATATATGTCAAAATTGTAAAATATTTAACCCTATTGTTTTGATCTTATATAATTAGACATATCACTTTTAGTTGGCACGTTATTACTAGATCATAACTCATTCACATATATTTTTTTTTTTTTGGACAAAACTCATTCACATATTAGAATAAAAATTTCTTATGCATACTTCAAATGGATTTCGAACATAAGTTTTGTTAGAATGACAAATCAAACTTATAGGTCTTATAACTTTGTTACGCCTACCTTTCATCTATATGATTAGCAACTAAAAGAATGACAAATTTTAGTGGATCACAAGTTTAACGTGAAGGCGTTCGCGTCTATCAAAGTTTTATGTATTTTTCTTTTAAAATATAAAAAAGTTTGGTGTTCTTTTTTTTAGAATTTCCAGAAGAATAATAGTCTGATGATCAAACGTTTATTGGAGAGGGAAAAAAAAAAAAAAAAAAAAAAAAAAGATCAAACTTTTATTGGGACAAAGACATTCTCTTTGTCGTTTTTCAATTTTCCATAAGCAACTGGTCCTCAAAACCTAGAATCATCCACCCGCAAAGTCGGCAGATTTCCAGCGAATTCAAACCCGACCCATCGAGAATCTGAATCAACCCGATTACCCAAGATCCAATCTTTCTATTTGATGAATCAATCGATCCCTTTTACCGTCTCTTCTTCTCCGGCGACGGATACGATGGACGTTTCGCCGCTTCTTGGCCGGAACAGACGTAACCGCCCACGGTCTTCTCAGCCGCTTCGTGGCGCGGCGTCGAGACTGCTCCGCCGTGCTAGCAACCGCCGGATGATGCTCCGTGAGCCATCCGTTAGAGTCCGTGAGGTGGCGGCTGAGCAGCTTGAGGAACGGCAGAGTCAATGGGCTTACTCGAAACCCATTATTGTTCTCGATATACTTTGGAATTTCGTCTTTGTGATTGTTTCAATCGCGATTCTAGGGTTTAGCTCTGAAGAAGATCCTGATGTTCCTCTTAGGTTGTGGATAATTGGGTATAATTTTCAGTGTTTGCTTCATGTTGGTTGTGTAATTGCTGAGTATAAACGTCGCCGTGAAGCTAATTCTCCTCCCAGTGGTGAAGATTCCTCCAATCACGAATCTCTTAGCGGAAGTGACGACGAATCTGATGGCTATAGCATCAACGACACTGATGATGACCATGGAACTAGGTTCAATCTCTTTTATTTGATCGATTCTTGTGATAGACTTATACTAGCTTATATTCAGAACCATGTTAGGTTGAAGGAATCTTTTAGGATTGTATACAAATGTAGAACTGAATGAACTCTCACTTGTTTTGCTATTCCAGTTTCACCAAGCACCTTGAATCTGCAAATACGATGTTCTCTTTTGTCTGGTGGATCATCGGGTTTTACTGGGTCACGGCTGATACCGAGGCACTAGCTCAGTCTTCGCCTCAACTCTACTGGTTTGTTTCTAACAGTTGTTGGTTTCGGTGCTTTTTATATTTTCAAGAGTTTGTTTCTGGGATTTAATCTTTGTTACTTGTATTTTTGCAGGCTCTGTGTTGCATTCCTTGCCTTTGATGTTATGTTTGTTGTCATTTGCGTTGCGGTTGCTAGTCTAATTGGTATTGCTGTTTGCTGCTGTTTACCTTGCATCATCGCAATCTTGTACGCATTAGCAGATCAGGTAAAGAAACACTAGGAGGATGAAGAACAAATGAGTCTTACTCTTATGTTTCTTGATAAACCCTATTAAGCGATTTCTAAATTTCAGGAAGGTGCACCCGATGAAGAGATAGAAAGGCTTTTAAAATTCAAGTTCCTCGTAGTAAAGAATTCTGAGAAAGTGAATGGCGAAATCCGGGAAACTCAAGGAGGGATAATGACTGGATTAGGTGCCGAGTCTCAAACCGAACGTGTGTTATCAAGCGAAGATGCTGTAAGTAACCATAATTAAATTTCCCCTTTTTTCCATCGAGTTTGGATAAAGACACTGAAATGATTGGAGCAAAACCGGAAAAAAAAAAACCATTGCAGGAATGCAGCATTTGTCTATGTGCTTATGAAGATGGAGTAGAACTAAGAGAACTTCCTTGTAGACATCATTTTCACAGTTTATGTGTAGACAAATGGCTAAGGATCAACGCGACTTGCCCTCTCTGCAAATTCAATATCCTCAAAAATGGTGAACCTAGTGGCAGTGAACAAGTGTGAGGATAAGAAAGATTTTGCTGTTCAATCTTTGTGGAATGTTACCTTAAAAGTTACCTTAACATCAACATCATTACCTTAAAAGTTACCCGCGTATTCTTTGACCATTACAGAGGAAAGAACAAGAAGAAGACCGTGAGATTTGTTTCGAGATGAAGCTGCACATCTTGTCTTTTTGGATATGATATTTGTAAATGCAATAAGTATATATAGTTCGGTTGGAAAATGTTATTCATCGAGTCAGGTGTGATTTTAGCCGTTTGGGTTTTTTAAGCAACCGATAAGTTAGATTAATTTACGGTGATGAACCATGTTTATATTGCTGTGACTTCATTGTAGTGAGGTGAAAAAGAGAAAGAGGTCACTATTTAATCAGAATTCACATTCAATCAAAAGAATATAGTATAAAAGACTGCAATCAAATAATATACTAAAAATTTATTCAACGTATTAATTTAATACAAAGATTGATGATATAGTTTGTGGAATAACAAAAGACAAATCAATTATTTTAGCAATCATAAGTGCAGATGCATGTCGTGCTTGTAGTATCAACACACACGCCGTTTCCACCATGCTTCATAGTACAGTCATGTGCACACACCAAACCTTCGCAGTTTTCCTGCGGTGTTGAAATATATTCATAACACTGATTTTCTTCTCCTTGCGTTTCCTTTATCACCATCCCTATTACAAAAAAAATTAAAACATAATCTCAGTTTCTTCTTAAAAAAATTAAAAGGTATTGACCAAAAACTACTCTGAATAAAAGAGAGGAAACGTGGAAACATATACAGTATGTTTTATGAATAAAGCAAACCTAAAACGAGGACGACCATGAAGATAGCAAGAGTGATGGTTTTAGTCATTTTTGATAATACAATAAGAATGAAATTATCAAAAATAAAATGACAATGAGTGTAATGATCATCTACACGTGAATTTCATATATATAAGCTATTAAAAGATATCACAAAATCTACAAAATAGCTAAAAATCAACAAGTAATTAAGTAGATGTTGTAAGCGGACGAAGATCTAATCAAGCAAATAAGAGAAATATCTAGAAATTAACTCAAAGTGGAAACGTATAAAAGTGGAAAAAAGAAAGAGATCATATTATGATTATCTATTTATCTAATGGGATTATTCTGTTATCGTAAGTAACAAGATCAGAGAAGCGTGTGTGAGTAGTTACACTGTTAAAGGCTTAAAGTCCCACGAAAACAGAGACGAAGCCCAGCAACGCCTACAAACTTTTACTATGGTTGAAAGTTAACCGTTCCGTAGGAAAAAGAAAGAAGAAAAGTTTAAAGTAGTGTTTATAATATTGTGACATCATAAATCAACATTTTATAAATTGTTACTAGTAATAAAATGAGTTATTAATTTTTATTTTGTTCTTTTTTCTATTCTTGTATTTTTAAAAATTGTATCTGCCACAAATCACCACGCATGTAACTTTACAACACCCTACAATGATTAAAATTCAGATTAGAATTGCAGGACTTTTTGCCCTCAAATTAAACACACGACGAGTACATATATAGACATTGAAAAAACAAATTGAATGTATGCAGCATTTGTTTATATATATGCTTATGAAAATTGAGTAGAACTAATAAGGGAACTTCCTTGTAGACATCATTTCCACAGTTTATGTGTAGACAAATGGCTAAGGATCAACGCGACTTGCCCTCTGCAAATTCAATATTCTCAAAAATGGTGAACATAGTGGTAGTGAACAAGTCTGAGGAGGAGGAAATTTTCGCTGCTCAGTCTTTGTGAATGTGATGAGTTCATTATCAAACATCATTGCCTTAAAACATGTTTATTATTTGATCATTACAGAGGGAACAAGAAAGAGGACCTTGAGACTGCAATATTATATTATTTTTTCCAAACCCGTTGCTTTATTATTACTATATTTGATGATGGTTTATATATGGATAACAAAGACAAATCATCATTGTTTGCAAATAAACATGCAGGTGCAGGTAAATTTATTGGTTTTAGAACACCCGCCTACTCCTCCCTTAAACCTTGAAGCACACATAGCATCACACGTCGAAGCTTCACAGCCTTCGGTTGGTGTTATAAGATTATGATGACACACTTTTTCTCCTTCTGCTTTTGTTTCCTTGGTCACCATCCCTAATAGAAAAAAATGAAAGCATAATTTCAATTTTTTTATATAACATAAACAAGTGATAAACACAAATACTGTGAACAAATGAGAAAAAAGGTGCAAAGAAATTTAATTAATATGTTATATGTATAAAGCAAACCTAGAACGATGACGGCTATGAAAAAGGCAAGAACGATGTTTTTAGTCATTTTAGATAATATAATAGAAATGAAAAATTTAAAGTAAAATGATAATGAGTGTAATGATAATGTACACCCAAATATCATATATATAATCAATTACAAAATATTACAAAATCTAAAGTTAGTTTTTTTTCTTCTATAAATCAACTAGTAATTAAGTAGATGTTGTAAACGGAAAGAGATCTTATAAAACAAATAAGAAAAATATCAAGAAAAAATATAAAAATGAAAACATATAAGAACTTAGTAAACTATACATAATAGTATTATATGATACATGAATAAAAAATTGAAAAGTCCATAAATAATTAAATAGATTCTGGAAAATGAAGAAAAAATCATAAGAATAGGAAAGAGATTTAGATACTTGATATAAATGAAAATAAACAAAAACTTGATAAATCATAACTAGTTTTGTTATATGCAACACTCAAAGTAGCATATAATAGATATGATATATGACTTTATCAATTGATTTTATGGTGAATTCGGCTTCTAACTATGAATTAGTCAGATAGTGTAATCATATATTTGATTAAACTGTGTACCTAAGAAAACAAAAAAAAAATGGACTGGACACAGTTGTCTTCCAGACATGAGTATATGTGATTTTAAGTAGGGATGTTTAATCCGGATACTGGTTTGGTTTATGGTGAGGTCATTATTGTAGTGAGGTGGAAAAGAGGAAGAGTCATATAAAGATTATCTAAAATATGAATGGGTTTTTTTTGTGTTGTAGTCGTAAGTCGTCGTAACGAACGAGAGAGAAACGTGTGGATTAAGTAAAAGGCTTAAAGCCAGTGGCCGCTATTTTAAAAGTAGGCCGAAATCAGAGACTAAGCCCAATTGCGCCCACAAACTTTTACCAAAAATGGTGTTCCGCAGGAAATAAAAATGGTCGAGGAAATTTTTGTATCTTGTGCAATTGTTAATTAGTAAATCTTAAAAAAAGGAAGGTTCAGATGCGCACACAAAATCATAACAGACGGTCGTAGTGAACCCAAAACAAGTCATAACAAAGTGTCCACGTGAAGGACATCCCATCGGACGCTGCACATTTTGTATCCGTGGAAGTCTTATCTCAACCAGCCGAGGAATTACTTTTATCTAAAGTTGTGCTAGATCAAATTGTTAAAGCATAAACATATTAAGTTTTCATTAATTTTTTTATAACCATGCATAATCTATCATAGTGAACATTTATAACAGTTTAATTTGTCTCTTTTTTTTTTTTTTAACTTGAGGAAAATCCTTCTTCTTTTGAAGGATTGAATATTATAGATTATCCATAGAAATGACAAAACATTCTCAAAACCATTTAAATTGATTATAAAAATATCACTAGTAATAAAATAATATTTGCATTATTAATATATATATATATATATATATTGTATTCTTTTTATTTAAATCATATCCGCAACAAATCACCACGCAAGTAACGTTACAATAACGCACAAATCATTAAAAACAAACCAGAATTGCAAGACTTTTTTTTTTTCCAATAACACACGACGAACTGGACAACAAGTTCTTAGATATCATCATCGAACAAATTTGACTTTTCTATTTCAAAATTTGTATCGTGAGTGAGTATATAAAGAAAATTAATCACACATCTTTGTTCCTCAATTCCAAATTGGGAAGATCTATATATGGAACAAAGACGAAGAATTAATAATATATGTGCAGCCACAAAGAAAAAGAGAAGTTAGAATTGCCGTTGATACACACCCCAAACCGGAACTCCGGTAACAATCCGGCCTCCATATCCATCAATAGACGGCGTCTCCGATCTCGGTCTCCACAACCCAGTATCCGCCGCTTGCGACGAACATGCTCCATAATCTCTTATCGCCGTCGTTGACGATTTAACTAAAATCGAAAGATTGACGATCCCACACTTATCACCAAACTCATCTCTCAATCTATAGCTCAAGAAGTTTAAATGACCTTCTGGTGAATACCTTCCCATGAAATCCTTCGTTGGGATTTTAGCTTCTCCGATTTTTTTCTGATGCCCAGAACCTGTTCGATAAAATACCTCAATGGTGATAAACCGTACATTACCATTGATGGGTATCTCTGATTTATAGTTCCATGTTGGATTGCTTCTTCTTGATTCATCAAGATTAGAGTTTCGAGATTTCTCGTCGATCGTTACGACGCAGAGAGTCTTTTTCTTGATGGGTCTCCGGTTAAGCTTAAGCCCTTCTGCTGATCTCAAATCAATCTCCAATGTTTTTGTCATTGTTGTATAGTGATGATGATCGATTATTGATCTACCCAAATATATCATTTGGGTTTAGTTTATTTATTGGACTAATCATTAACTAGAATGAAATATTATGTATATATATAGACAACATCATTTATGTCACAACGAAGGTGACAGGGAAGTTTGGAAAGAAGACGCGCGGAGATTTCTTCTCTTTTTCCCGCCAGCTCATTCGAAGAGGTCGACCAAACAAAAAAAAAAGACAAAAAAAAGGAAAGGAAATTACATTTAAAGTTTAGATTAGTAATTTGTTCCTTTGAATTTGGTTTTATATCAGAAAATTGGTTTTAAATATATTATGAATCATTCTTATATATAGATGAATGTTTAAATTTATAAAAGGACTATATAATATATAAGTAGTCATAAATTATCAAATATATTTGAATTTATAAAATAATTTTTAGTGGTATAAAACAAAATAATTTTTTAAAACATTTTAATACTAGTATAATAAAACAGAGAAAATATTAATTTAGTTTAGTGATTATGACTTTTTGAATCTCACGATGACCTTATTAGTTTATTTACGTAACATCAAATTTCCGATAACTTAATATATACACAAAAAAAAATTGGAACTATAAGTCTAAGACGACAAAAGAAAAATAACGTGGCATATGCCAGTTGAATCCAGCAGCGTGATAAACGCGGCGGGAACGTTCGTTGTTGTCAAAAAAACTGCGCGTTCCTACCATGACAGCTATGAAACAGGAGTAACAAAGGAAAGTAGTCGTTTTTTTCTTCCTTATCAGTTTCAATTCTACTTAATGGTGCTCGTAGTTTTGGATGCAAATTTACTCTCTTTTTCCCAACTCTAGCTCCATATTTCCAGATACATTTACTTTTATCGTGTAATGGTAACAGTTGTTAGAAGTTAATCAAAAAAGTTATTTCCTCTTTTCTTAAGGTAAATTTCCTTTTTATAATAATTAAATCGTGACCAAGTCAAATTCCTTATGTAAAAAACTTCTGAAAAATACTACATTGTTACTAAGTCGTTGAAGTTTGTAGCTGATGAAGGTGCCTGAAATTCCGATTATAAATCTTATAGTCTTACGTATATAATCATTTTCCTAAAAAATTACGAAAATTATGAAGTCTCCACATTGATCTCATACTATAGTGTAAGATTTTTATTTATATTTATTTTGAGTGCTCTATATATATTGTTGTCAACAGAGTCTTAATTATATATTTAAATTAATATCAATTAGAACTTACATACTCAGGAATAACATCAAAATACTTTTCTCAATGTTCAAAAAGCTAACTTGTGAGAAAAAAATATGTGGAAATGTCCATCGAAAAACGTTTATTTGAACGGAAAACTATAATTAGCTTTTCATCAAATATTTGATCAAGAATTATTCAACTCATTTGAATATTTTTTCGTACGACTTTTAGTA